TAGGTGGGTTGGGCAGCTGATGTGAGCAATGGGAAATAATGGAAATCAGTGTCTGTAGGAAAGGATAATGCAGGAAGCGGGCCTCATTGTTCCTCCAGCGAACCTTTCACACCCGTGGATGGTGGGAATCTTTCCTACCTGGTGGTGGTTGTTGTTTTTTAATAGTCTCCAAGACGAATGGAAGCATGGCCTAGCTGCAGTCAGCTTGAATACAGGGCTCAGGAATGTCTGTTTCTGCTTTGTGGTTGCTATGTCTGTGTTTGTCTCATTGCCCTGTCATTAGCATTTTGTAGATGACACCATTAGCAGATCAAGCAGGATTTCATGTGTGTTAGGCTGGGAGGGTGGAAATGGGTTGGTTGGTTGTTGTGATGCTGTGATGTTGTAACGAAAGAGGCGCTGAGCCAGTTTGAGACGGTTGTTAAATGGAGGTCTTCAGGTTTGCTCAGAGGCAAGTACGCAGGTGTCAAGGCAAGTTGCCAGATCAGGGGGATTTCTGTGAGATTGCAGGAGTATCAGTGCAGCATATTAACATGCCAAAAACCTAGTAAAGGGAAAACGCAGGCATGTGAGTGCGCGTGCACGCACACACACACACACACACACACACACACTGTATTTCATAGTGCTGCCTCTTTCGTTTTCTTAAGCAGGTAAAGAGAATCCATTCTGTACTTTGCAACTTCAAAAGGGGGAATTAAAGCATCAAGACAAAGGTGGAAAACCTGCTATGGCTATGTAATAGTGTTTGTGGGTGATATATGATATAGAAACCACAGTGCTAAGCGATATATACCGTATTTTTCCGCCTATAGAACATCCCCATGTATAAGACGCCCCCTATTTTGGGGGATTTCGATTTAAGAAAATGGGGGGGGAGATACTATCAGTGTAGACATTATTTTAGAGTAAAAAAACATAGTCTTATAGATGGAAAAGTACGATAAATTGCTGAAATCATCAGTATACACAAAACAGGAAGAATGTCTTATTTCAAACGAATCCCTAACAAATATTGGCGCGAAACCTCCCCAGACAACCTGTTTTTTGGGTGGCTATTGATTTTCATTATTGAACTTAATGGTAAGCCTGCTGAAACGGTGGTTCATTAATACAGTCTCTGCAGAAAAGTCATAAATATCAAGTATTCATCGCACCTATAACTGAAATCCTAAATTAAGGATAGTTGAGATACATATACACTGATTGAGAGTACCGCTTGTGTGATAATTCATTGAGGCTTAAAAAAATATATTAAAAAGGGACTGTAGCAGAGGAACCCTCTCCGGCACCCAGGGCAGGGAGAATTGCCTGGTGGTGCATGCACGACGTCCTTACAGATTGCACACGTGTGGCATCCCGGACGGACTGCGCATATGCGGCATCCCATATGGACTGCATATGTGCGGCATCCCGTACGAAGTGTGTGTGTGTTGCATCCCGTATGGCGTGCGCACGTGCGGCAGCCTGTACGGTGGCCATGTGAGAGTGGCAGCCTGTATGCGCGGCGTCCATACTGGCTGCGTGCACCCTCGGCCACTCTACAGCTGGGGGGAGGCAGGGGCCATCTTGTCACCCCCCCAGGGTGGCACCCGGGGGACCCGCCCCCTCTGCCCCCCACTTTGTACGCCCCTAGACAGTACCCTGTGCAACTCTGTGCATGCACTGGGAACTTGCGTCCTGGTTAGAAATGACTGAAGCCTGAAGAGGGTAATGCAAACTCTTCAGGCCAGAGAGGTATCACAAGCTCCTCTGGTGCTTGGATTTTTGAGAGGGCAGGGGTGCCATAGGCTTGTTTTAGAGGGCCCATTGTGTCCCTGGTCAGAGATGTCCTCTGAGTCTATGGCTTCTTCCCCTCAGGATGGGGAGCCTGATCCCTGGGTCATAACACTTTAGGCCGCTAAATGTCTTGGGCCTGTCCTGACTGAACCATGACACAGACATTCTGAAGGGCTTTAACACTTGACCATCATCATTTTGTTTTTGTGCTCTGTTTTGTTTCTTTACCAGGGGTAGGTTGCAGCAATTTAGAAACAAGATATTAAACACAATACACAGTTTAAAAGACATTAAAGTCACAAGGGGTACGGTGGGCCCTGAAACATATCAAATATCTTCTTTAAAAAAAGGAAACCCAAGACTTGATTTTATTCCCACCCTACCCCAAATCTCCTTATTGCAGGCCATGCTGGGAATATACTTCCTTCTCCCCCCCCCCCATTCCCATTGTTACTGTTGAATTTGACTTGGATTTTTTTAAAAAGGGGTTTGTTGTTCTTTGTGCTCCCTAGCAACCTGTAATTCCCAGCTACTTGGGCAAATGAAGGTATGTGTTTGCAGAGTGGCACCTTCATTTCTTTTTATTTTTGCCAACCCGGACATGTTGCAATGACTGGAAGCTACAGGCTAAATATCAAGAGAGGCATTTTTTAACGAGGAGAGTTAATTGACGAATGTTGCAATCAACGCCTGAGGAGGTGGTGTGGTGGTTTGTCCATCATTTTGATGTTGCTGAAAACAAACAGCCCTCTTTTAAGGCTTAGAACTGGAGAACCATGGTTTCCTGATTTTGTTCAAAATGAAACCGAATGTGTGTGGTAGTGGGATTGTTATTATTATTATTATTATTATTACTGTATTGTTATTATTTATTGAATTTATATACTGCCCTATACCCGGAGGTCTCAGGGCAGTTCAGGGATGCATATAATGTGATTTGTATCTATTGTGCCAGCACACCAGTCTTTTACTTCTGGCTGTCAGAAAGGTGGGGTGAGAGGAAAGACACAAAACGGCCTCGCAGATTTTCTCTACACTTGTTCCTGTATTTGACTTTTTTGGGGGGTGGGGGGTGGAGATCCTTCCACCTGACACCTGAAATCGAACAATCATAATGGCCCCCCACCCCCCAAAAAATAGAAATGCCATTGAATTCCTTCCAATATTTTGTAGCGCCCCCACATCCCCCCGGCAACACACCCGTGAGAGTATCCCCTTCATTCCCATTCTTGATGCTGCACATCATGCGGTTCCACAAGGCTCCTGCTGTGTGCAATATAGCGCATATTTATTCATTTAGAAGATTTGTGTTCTGCTTTCTGCCTAAAGCCCTCAAAGCAGCTGACAACGCCTGTGTAAAACACAACAGATGCACCAGGGCCACAAACACCAAAACACTATCACCAAAATAACCAGGAACACTTACTTCTCACATGCAGGGGGTCAAGGAAGCGACAGTCTGACTGGAGAATGTCCTGATGTTGTCTTAGCCTGCCTCCCTTCCTCTTTCCTTTCCTTCCCAGAGGGCAGATTGTCTCTGTGGCGATTGTGGAGAGGACAGTCCAAGTCTTCAAATATCTTGCCTTCTGTATGGATTTGTCTCATAGTGCAGAGTGCAGTTTTGCCATTTGTAGTCAACCTGCTTTCTGCTCTTGCCGCATCCGGCTGCATGGCTTTCGCCCCTGAGTCTGCATGCCTCCCCAGGAGTGTCCCTATTGTGGGCTACAAAATGGTCAAAAGATATGGATTCGCATCTGTGCTCCTGACCTGAGGCTTTGATCTCTAGCTACTTCCTCCCCTGAAGAACTGGAACTTGATGCTGCAATAGATCTGCATATTACACCTTCTGCAGGGGGCCCAACTTGAATAAAATATTGGGGTGGGGCGGGTAAGCCCTGCGTGCAATTGATCACATGGCATGGCACAGATACCCCATTTGAATGGGAATTCCCCTCAACTTGAGGGGGGTCCCCCTCAAATATTTTATGAGGGGGAGAAGGGACCTCAGCCCCTAGGAGCCCTAAACGGCCTTGGCCCAGTATACTGGAAGGAGCTTCTCCACCTCCATTGCTCAGCCTGGACACTGAGGTCCAGCTCCGAGGGTCTTTTGGCGGGTCCCTCACTGCGAGAAGTGAAGCTACAGGGGACCAGTCAGAGGGCCTTCTTGGTAGTGGCGCCCTCCCTGTGGAATGCCCTTTCATCAGATGTCAAGGAGATTAGTAACTATACAGCCTTTAGAAGACATTTGAAGGCAGCCCTGTATCAGGAAGTTTTTAATGTTTGACGTCTTACTATGTTTTTATATGTTCTGTAAGCTGCCCAGAGTGGCTGGGGAAACCCAGCCAGATGGGCGATGTATATGTTGTTGTTGTTGTTGTTGTGGATTTGGCTTCCATGCCTGTCTGGCTTGGCTAGTATAACCTATTGGTTTTTCCTGTGTTGATGCTTTAATGTAGTTTGGGATAACATAGTAGCCTTTTAACAGAGTTCAGGTTGAAGGGATTTAAAGAAGAGTTTGGCAGGTCAGTGTATAAACAATTGCTTGCTGCACGAACCATGTGTCTGCTTAATAGAGACTCACTCCTTCAGACCCAGCCACCCAGTTTCTGTGCTAACCAAGTCTCCGTTTTGCCCTTAGGATAAATTCATTCATTCCTGTAATTTTCATTCCATGTTGCTTCATTTTTGACTCGTGTGGATTTCAAAATACCAGGAGCAGAAAGAATCAGGAAAAGCCAGGGTATGGGGCTCTGAGCTATTAAAAACTGCAAAGTCTTTCACAGCACCTCTTTTGACTGGAATACATGATCACAAAGGTGTCCACTTTGGTTTCACAACTTTCACCCAGCCCAAAATCACCTGCACATTTTCATTTCCTCTCTCCATATAATGCAATGCTAGAGAGTTAAAAAGTAAATTAAGGCAAGATGGACATGTCAGGAAGCCATATTATTCTGCTGTGTTGAATGCAGCATTGAGAATATGCAGATGTGTGCCTGAACTGCTGACTGCATCAGTTAGAACCCGAAGTGTATAATCTGAATCCCAACAAAGAAACTTTGTATTTTCAACCCTCTCCTCTTCAGCATTCAGGTGCCTGTGTCAAATTAGACCTGGCACTTAAATCAAGCACTACAAACAAGCCCTGTGCTGCAAGATGTTTCTGAAACCCGAAGAAAAGTTGTTCTTATTTCCCCCCATCTCTGTTCTTTATTTCACAGGCAGGAAGAAAAACCCAGGGCTGAAAATTCCTAAAGAAGCATTTGAACAACCACAGACGAGCTCTACGTATGTCTTGAAATCTCAGCATGATTGCTTTGGGTTGGGCTGGGGGGGAGGTTGAAGCAGGGGTTCATAAATGTCAACTTGGCGTACTAGCCAGCTATTATTTCTGGTCATCACCAATCCCCTCCCTGAGCCTCCAGGAATGCAGACTCTACATGGAAGTTAGGCAGGGTCCTCTCCCATTTGTGCAGAGTACACAGAGCAAGAAACAGCCGGAGTCTTTCTGCCACTTGGAATGTTCTTCTGTTTCTTAACCTGCTTGAAAACTGCAGTGGACGTGAGACCTCCAGGGTAGGGATGTGCGTGATCCAGGAGGTTCTGCTTGCTAGAAGGCTAGGCAAGTGGATTTGTGGATGCCTGGCTTGAAGCAAAATGGGATTCTTCATAGAGCTGGTGTTCTGGGTGGCACGGGAGTGACGAAACAATGGAACAGTCCGCAATTGTGCAAGCTAGCGAAAAGAAACTCTGGGTCTGCATTCTAATATTCCAAAGCAAACTTGGAGAAGAGGAGAGAAAGGGAAACCACACTTTAAATTGTTTTTCCATTATTGAATATTTAGAAATAATAATAATAATAATAATAATAATAATAATCATAATAATTTATTTATTTATTTATATCCCGCCCTCCCCAGCCGAAGCCGGGCTCAGAGAGAAAGAAAGTTAATGGCCCAATATTAAGTTGTCTTGCAAACATGTGCAGTTAGCTTTACATACCTCCGTAAGTTAACATGATAATATAGTGCAGGGCTTGTTTCAGATGGATTTTGGAAAGAAGATTGGTGATGTGAATGCTCCCTAACAAAGACCACAATGCAGAGAAACAACTCTTGCATGCCTAATGGCTTCTTGACGCAAAACATTTTCTGTTGGCAAGCTCAGGGGTGTGTTAGAAGCAGTCCAACATAGTACTTAGGGGACTGTGTTTCAATGAGAAGGTGAAAACCATAGGGTTGTATCCTGTGCCACACGCAAGCAGAGTTCTGTCCACACCACAGAACATCCCCTTCCTTTTCTCTCCACATGTCTGAAAATCTGCTCTGGAAAACCTGACTATATTATACGAAGCAGGTGCCAGGCCAATGTCATTTTACGTGGTCTTAAAACATTGGCAAGTCCGTATAGGTTCTTGACAGACAGGTTTGTGAGACTGGTGGGAGAGCTTTGCTTTCTTTTGCCCTTACATATAGAAAGAAGGGAGACCAGGTTTCATCAAAGGTATTTTCCTTTATAACCCCATTTGTAACCATTCTAAGCCCAGTTAGTTGCCCTGAACTGGCTATATCCCAAATATTATTGAACCACATCTCTGGAGGAAATAAATAAAAAAAAATTAAAAAATTGTCCGGTAGCACCTTAGAGACCAACTAAGTTAGTTCTGGGTATAAGCTTTCGTGTGCATGCACACTTCTTCAGATAGAGGTAGTTCCACCTAGGATTTCCAGTGATACTCTATCACTAGATGTGCAGCTACCAGTAGAAAAAGAATTAAATCTTTATGCCAGATCGTAGGGTCAGGATCTCTGGGTTTGGTGAAAGCAAGGCTAAGGCTGGGTTTGTCAAGAGATTCTCAGATGATTATTATTTTTTATATACCATACCTTACAAGCTCTTGGCTGCAAGATTATTGAGTTGTCAAATTACCCATCACAGACCTTGCACCTTATGTAAACGGAGTAAACTCTGGGAACAGTGGACAGCTGGCTGCTGTGCCAACTGAGAAAATAATCAGGAAGAAAAAGAGAGAGAGGAAGGAAGGAAGGAAGGAAGGAAGGAAAGTTTTTCTATACCCACCTGGCCCCTCAGTCATAATTTCTCAGTCTGTCCTTCACCCAGAAAGTGTGCTCACCTTTATCCTAACCAGATTTCCTTGGAAGTCGGTTCCATTGCTTCCAGATAAAATACATAAACCTGCTTAGTTTTGGCAGCCTCATGATGCGTATCTTGGATCCTTGAAATTTGGTTTACTTGCTTGTTACCCAAGGGCCCCCTGACAGTTCTTTAGGTAGCACAACAGACTCTCAACTTTTCTCATTGTACCAAGGTAAGATATGGGTTATGTCAAGGAGGCTTTCCTCTCTAATCTGCCCTGTCTGGCACTGGGCAATGCCCTGTTATTTTCTCTTTCATGTACTGTGTTTGCTGCATGCCTCTCTCTCAAAAAGGGGGTCTGTTTTAGCTTATGGTGCCTCTTTGAACACAGTCTTCAAGGCTGAGTATTTGCTGCCCCCCCTCCTCTCTTCCCACAATCTCTCCACAACTCGAAACAGTGAAATGAATCTTGATCTCCTCCAGGAACCTGAGACTGCCCTTGCAGTCAATGAAAGGACTTATTAAGACAGAAGATTCTCTTAGGAGGGCTTTTAATTAACTTATGGAGGGGAATTTTCCATCTCCCACCCCTGATCTTCCTTTGATCTTTCAAGGGGCCATGCCTGTGCCATCCACAGGTACATACATGGGTCTGTAGCATTAGAAAGTCAAATGCCAGGACACCTCAAAGGGTGATGTTAAAATATGCCCATAAGAGAGGACTGCCTAGGATAGAGAAAGTGATGTGGAGAGATTTTCAGAGAGATTTCATGCAGAGCCAGAAATGGAGATTCTGTAGACTTGCTGGAATGGAATGAGATTTCCAGAGCTCAACTTTTAGGATTGGAAAAGGATTACAGCTGGCACTGTCAACAGATGAAATCATCTTCCTGTCCTTCAGTCGAAGTAGTGGGATTATAGTACCAAAGGTACTTTTTTTTTTAGGCTCGGGCTTAGCAATATCAAAAAGTGCGGCTGCTCCTATAAACAGCCATCAAATGTCTACTTACTCTGTCCTCCTCTTTTAATATCTAGTTGAACTCGCCTTGTGTGGTGATGCCACAAAGTTCTACATCCCCCACCCATTGCTCCACAGGCTAGAGAACAAGCTTCCACATGTTGACCACAATGCCTAGCTTTACCGTTAAACCACAGAGCCTAGGGCTTGCCGATCAGAAGGTCGGCGGTTCGAATCCACGCGACATGGCGAGCTCCCATTGCTCGGTTCCTGCTCCTGCCAACCTAGCAGTTCGAAAGCACGTCAAAGTGCAAGTAGATAAATAGGTACCGCTCCGGCGGGAAGGTAAATGGCATTTCCGTGCGCTGCTCTGGTTCGCCAGAAGCGGCTTAGTCATGCTGGCCACATGACCTGGAAGCTGTACGCCAGCTCCCTTGGCCAATAAAGCGAGATGAGCGCCGCAACCCCAGAGTCGGCCACGACCGGACCTAATGGTCAGGGGTCCCTTTACCTTTATAGAAGGAAGTATAGCTTAATTTAGCAGTTTACATCCACAAGCTGCTGTTCGTTATTAGAAGGAAGGACTGCTTTCCTATTATGTGATTAAAGGCTTTGGTAATTAAGCGGTATATAATGAATAAACAAAAGATTTGCAATCTATATCAAAGCAAGAGCGTTTGAGGCATACTTTTTTCAAAAAGAAAAGAAAACTTTTAATGAAGATTGTCACAATGGTCACATTCAATGACCCACTTATTTTTGGCTGTAGATAGTCTGAGGGAGCGTTATAAGGCACACTTTTTTGTATATAAAAAAGAGGTGCAGTGCAAGCTGGCATATATGTTAAACCCATGGGGTACACTGGTTGTGGTTTTACTTGGGCAATTTAGCTGAGCGCTCCTTACGTATTGGATTAGGAGTCATTTGCAAAACAGGAGCATGACTGACCCTTTATGTTCCATCAGAAAGAAGGGATTTATGGCAAAGCTCAGCATTGCTCACTTTGGTCTTAGCTATTTCTGGTGCAGATTAATACAAGATAAATACAGTCTTTTTTTACAGGCTGCCTATAAATAGAAGAGTATTTCTTATTTATGGAAAAGATGTTGGCTTTTGCTGGGGGTTACCTGACTTCATTAGTTTCTTACTGCACCGTGTAATTTTTGCAGCCCTGTTTTTTCTTAGTAGAGAAACCCCAAACCAGTGATTTCTAAGGTGGAGCGGGCGCTAAAAATAGATATTGCAGCGGGGTGAGAGAAAAAGAGTGGCAAATTCCAAAATGGGGGCTGGAATTTGGAGACGAAATATTTTGAGTCCGCCACAGGCCCATTTCAGATCAGCTTTAGGATCATTCAGGGTCTGGTTCAACCCAATATGTGTTTGTATTGCTACTGGGGGTGTTCTTTGCCTGCCATCACCATTTTGAGCTAGAAAGGGGAATGCGTGTCAGAAAAACTCTGTAGGCCTTGTCACTTGGGAGGGAGAGACCGAGCTTTCTCTTTGGAAAGCTGTTTTAAAAAGCCGCTCATGAGGCTTGTGAAAATTGTCCACTTCTCCCTTTGTAGATAGTAGTTGCAATTGTTTCCCCCCCAATTTTTTTAAATTGATTTCCCAAAAATTCAAAACAAACAAACAGACAAACAAACATACATACATCCTGTTTAAATCTTGGTAACATTATTAAGTGACTTCCTCAAATCCCCTTGGTTGAATTTCATTATATATCATTTTAACAGTTTTCCAAAATTGATTTTCTCAAAAAATTAACTTAATCACTTAAAATCTTTCATTCTTTCTAATTTAACTTTAAACATCTTAAATCTTATCCTTACATATTTAAATCCTAAGCCTAACTATTATTTGCAAGCTTTTCCAATTAAGTTATCTTAACATGTTTAGCTAAATAGTCTTTAAATTTCATCCAGTCTTGCTGGTACTCCTCCTCCTTCTGGTCGCGGACTCTTCTAGTCAGCTTGACCAGCTCCGAAAAATCTATCATCTTCATCTGCCAATCTTCCACTGTTGGTACTTTCTGTGTTTTCCAATTCTTCGCTAACAAAATTCTTGCTGCATTTGTGGCATACAAAAATAATTTAACATCTTCCTTGGGCAATTCCAAACCTGTTATTCCAAGAAGAGTAGTTGCAATTGTTATCTCAAAGGAGTGACCATTTTTCTTACCAGGTAGTTGGATTAAAAATGGGAAAGACCCCTCCTTCCGAGTGACCCTTGGTTAATTCTGTTGTTGCGTATACATGACATGTATACACATTTGGTTCCAGGCGCATGGTCTAAAGAAAGCGCACAGCGCACCAGCCTTGCTGAAGCTAAGCAGGCCTTGAATTGCCCCACGCCTGGATGGAAGACCTGCCTGGGTCACCTTGATTTCCTTGAGGGATGAAAGGATGGAATAAAAATGAAGTGTTTGTATGTGTTTTATATGAGCCCTGAAATACTTCCTTCCTAATCTGTTTTCTGGGCCTTCTTTTTTTTTCTATTTTGCAGGCCACCTAGAGATTTGGACTCCAAAGCCTGCATCTCCATTGGCGACAAGGTACGGTGACGATCAAATACAACTTCTAAAGATTTCTGTGCATCCAGCTGGGAAGAAGTGAACTTAAGGGGTGGTTTATAAATAATCTGCTAATCCCATTCCTTGGTACAGAAGTCATTGAGCTTCTTGTCCCTCTTTCCTTGATTCACCTGTTCACTTTATTACAAATTTCACCTACCAAAACAAGTTAAAGGTTTTGACTTTTCACCTATTTGCTGATGTTGTCTTTGTATTTGGACGCTCTTGGAGTAAAGCTGTGTATTTTCTCCCACATTGCTTGGGGTATCAAGGAGGCAGATCTGTTTTACTCAGGAGCAATGGTAAGACCTATGTGGGACCCTGCTAGGGAGTGTCTGGCTGGTATATGCAGGCCCTCATTTGAGGACACTATGCACAACCACTTGGTGGTTGACACCAAGTTGTTGCAGTGGTTTGTGCAATCACACGACTGTACTTTTAAAAGCAGCTTCACTTACAGCATGGGTAGGCAAACTAAGGCCCGGGGGCCGGATCCGGCCCAATCGCCTTCTAAATCCGGCCCTTGGATGGTCCGGGAATCAGCGTGTTTTTACATGATTAGACTGTGTCCTTTTATTTAAAATGCATCTCTGGGTTATTTGTGGGGCATAGGAATTCGTTCATTCCCCCTCCCAATAAAATCTGGCCCCCCACAAGGTCTGAGGGACAGTGGACCGGCCCCCTGCTGAAAAAGGTTTGCTGACCCCTGACTTACACTATTGCTCCCTTGCCTTCAAGACAGACACGAGTCAAACACTGCATTCTCCATACAAATGTGTATTGCAGCATCCCGTGGTCCACAAATTCAGTTGACGGCTGACTTAAGCTTTTCATGAGAGCATCTGTTTATGAATAAGAATATCGTGTAAGTCCAACAGTTACTGCTTGGCATCCATCTAAGTTTGGAAAATGGGATGCAAATGATAACCAAATTGTGTTAACGCGAAACTGTGTCAGGCAACCATCTGCCTTTGCTCCGGAGAGGCTTGACTTCGTGACGCTCGCTATGCTAATAGTTGAGACCCACTGGGGCAAGCGTAAGTGTGTTTTGGAACAGGCAATATTCACTTCCATAGAACTGCGGTTCTGTTAAGTGAAGTCCAAGACTGCATGTGCCGTTGTCATAGGAATCCCTCCTATGACTGCAGTAGATGCAAGCTAAATGGTCAAGTCTTGCATATTTTTAATAGTTTAAGATCTAAGACACATGTGAGATGGCTGCAAAATCAAACGGAAGCCAGCTGTTCGACCACCAGTACAGAGAAACCCAAACTGACTCACGAAAAGTCTGTTCCATGTGGGATTTAATGGCTGGTGAACTACAGCTCTGATTCAAACCAGCTTTCATTTTTTTTTTTTAATGTTTCAAGTCCTCAGGCTTTGGTGGGTGGGATATTGAAATACATTTTTGTACCATTTAAAATATATGGGCATCATTTGATTACATTATTTTAACTTGGGTGTACTGAAGTTACAGGGGCCAGGCAGAGGGCCTTCTCAGCAGTGGCTCCCTCCCTGTGGAACGCCCTCCCATAAGATGTTCACGGAGATGAAGAACTACACAACTTTATAGAAGACATCTGAAGGCAGCCCTGTATCAGGATTTTTTTAAAATGTTTGATATTTTATTAGGTTTATCTATGTGCTGTAGAGGGACGCGGGTGGCGCTGTGGGTTAAACCACAGAGCCTAGGGCTTGCTGATCAGAAGGTCAGTGGCTCGAATCCCCACGACGGGGTGAGCTCCCGTTGTTTGGTCCCAGCTCCTGCCCACCTAGCAGTTCGAAAGCACGTCAAAGTGCAAGTAGATAAATAGGTAGTGCTCCGGCGGGAAGGTAAACACTGTTTCCGTGCGCTGCTCTGGTTTCACCAGAAGCGGCTTAGTCATGCTGGCCACATGACCCGGAAGCTGTACGCTGGCTCCCTCAGCCTATAGAGCGAGATGAGCCCGCAACCTCAGAGTCGTCCACGACTGGACCTAATGGTCAGGGGTACCTTTACCTTTACCTTTCTGTCCCTTAAGCTGCCCAGAGGGGCTGGGGAAATCCAGCCAGTTGGGTGGGGTATAAATAATAAAATTATTATCATTATTATTAGAAACAAAAATGAAGAATTCAAAGATCTGACTATGGGAATAGTTAAGAAAAAGACCTGTATACAAATCCCCTGCAAAAAAAAAAAGAGCAGATTGCCTCATTCTCTGGTGACTCCTACTGCTCCGTCAAGGAATAACCCAAATTAATAGGCCTGGTTGCGTTTCCCAAACCCCGCCCCCCTCCAGCTTTTTATGTAACATCTCTACAGAGGCACCTGCTTACTGATATTAATAGCAACAGTTGCTCAGCGCCAAATGCTTATTGCTAAGCTCTGGCTAGCATTAGCAGCTACCTCCAGACACTTGCTCTCGCTGCTGTTAAGCAAGAAAGCTACAAGGCGTTGTTCTCAAGGCAGTAATTTTCAAGTAGACCCAGTATTCAACTTTTACGGCAGGGGGACCGCTAGTAAAACGAGCGTTGAGGTGTGCCAGCAGGTCCACTGCACCTATTTAGAGGAATTATGTGAGTTTGTCAGCAAAACATCAGGTGTTTGTGCCGCTGGTCAGTGCTGTTTGGGTATAAAGGCAAAAGGAGGAATTCCATATGTTCTGAAATGTCCCATGTCTGCACGCCACATGGTTGCTGCAGATGTAGCGATGAGAAAAAGCTTAATCTGTTGGGCTGTCGCATTTTTGTCCAGTTTGTGTGTCTTCCTATAGGCTTCTAGTTGATCATTTAAGAGGAAGAAGATGCTGCACTAAATGGACCTTTGATCTGATCCAACAGAATTATATATATACTAGTAGTGCTTTTTTCAGGGGGTACACATACCCCTAAACATTTTGTGAATCTTTGTACTTTTGTCCATTTACTGTATTTATTTTTTCCAATTTGAACTATAAAATGGTGATTTTCTTGAGTCAAAATGAGAGTACCCCTACACATTTTTTTTAGAAAAAACACTGTGTGTGTGTGTGTGTGTGTGTGTGTGTGTATATATATATATATATATATATATATATATATAATTTTTAAATTTAGTTTTCAAAAGTTTGCATACTTTACCATCAACAATACCTCTAATTTACCCATTGACTTCCCATCCCCCTCTCCGTAGCATTCTATGTTTATCCTTGAATATTTTAACCGATAACACTCCATATACACCTCCTGAGTTATTAGTCTTAATGTGTGTTTAATATATTAAATGGTTTGGAAATTAAACAATCAGTCAGTCAGTGTTTCTCCCATCCTCTCTAATTTGGAATTCTCCACGTCCCTTTTCAGGTACTGTATTGCTTGAAGGCCAGTTCTTACCAAATCTGTGACATTTTTCTTGGTTAGAAGAGGGAAAATGCAGCAGGATTGATGTAAAGGCTGATACAGATGGGCACTAGCACTGTCTGAGCCTTTTCTGTTCAGTCTCACACCTAAGCTGCAGACTGCTAATTTATTGGCAATGTTGTATATTCATTAGCATTTTATAGGTCTGCCTTTCAGAGACCTAGGCACGCCCCCCCCCCCCGCTACTTTTGGTGTTTTGAGATGGGAGGGAGTGAGAGAGCCATCTGGAGCACAATGACCCAGTATTGCATCAAAGAGATGTCTGATGTAGAATGCCTTTGTTCCAAGAAAAGCAGGTTCCCTTCTGTCCCTGGAAGGGAGAGATGTTCCAAAAGGTTCGTAGAGGAAGCAGATTTTGATCTATAAGTTGTACATGCATTTGCTGTTGCAAATCTCCCCTTCATCCCAGCTCAGTCTTTTAAAGAGAGCTGGAATTTGGTCCACCGCTTTTGTCAGCAATTAAAGGCACAAAAGAATGAAGTTGTTTCTCCCTCTCAGGACTCAACATGTGAAAACCCGTAGTAGTTTTATCTACAACTAGAAAACAAGGGAAGAGTGTGTAAAATTCAGGCATAGGCCCAATGGCCAAGCCAGACATCTGAACTGGAAGGAATGGGGACAGGTCATCATCCTTGCAGATGAGGGGATCAAACGTCCTGTGCCAACTACTTAACTTTTTGTCGTCTAGCCCAGGAAATAAAAATGTGGGTATAGAAAGCAATGTGCACCCAATGTGTCTAACCTTTGTCTTGTGTTGACATGTGCAAAAGTCACAGCAGGTGTACACATTCCCCCCTACCCCAGTGAACATCATTGCAAGAGAGGGATGACGTAAAGTTGCTTGGAAGGTGGGGGGGATCACTTCGAACCCTTTGAGTAAACTGATTTTTTAAGAAAAGTGTTTTATAGTTATGGAATCTAGAAATAGACATTGAACTTGCTGTTTCGTGGAACAAGTGTACATGGCCAAAGCCATGAGTAGGCAAACTCAGGCCCAGGGGCCGGATCCGGCCCAATTTGCCTTCTAAATCGGGCCTGTGGACCATCCGGGAATCAGCAAGTGTTTACATGGGTAATAATAATAATAAGAAGAAGAATGTGTCCTTTTATTTAAAATGCATCTCTGGGTTATTTGTGGGGCCTGCCTGGTGTTTTTACATGAGTAGAATGTGTGCTTTTATTTAAAATGCATCTCTGGGTTATTTGTGGGGTGTAGGAATTCGTTCATTCCCCCCCCATACATATAGTCTGGCCCCCCTACAAGGTCTGAGGGACAGTGAACCGGCCCCCTGCTGAAAAAGTTTGCTGACCCCTGGTCAAAGCAATGCTCCGTTTAAAGAAACGATTACCCATGCCTGTAAGAGAGAGGTGCTGCCCCCAACTTCAGAACTTGAATGGCATTATGAAATCCATCCAAGCACTTTTGAAGAAGTAAGGATATGTCGGTGCTCCAGAGCAGCCTTGCATGGGGGGAAAAAACAGCTCCTCCCATGGTAGCCGTGGGCAGCCAGCAATTGCATGCAGGTGAGTGTGCAGGTTGGCGCAGACCTCTTCTCTTCCTCCTCGGCTAGTCTGGTTAGTTTCTCTGCTGTCTGCAAAGGAACAGAAGCGTATCCTCAGCTCTGTCTCTTCTACTCCCATCTGTTGAGTAGAAGGTCATGCTGCCTTATACTGAAGCCTCATCCAGATTTTTGTGCCTCATTTCTATGCCCAGGTCCGCACTTTGAGGCTCTGTGTCCAGTTAGGGAATTATTATTATTTTTGTAGTTCCGGAGCTTTGCCTGCGAAAACCTGGGTTTTACCGCTGAATCGGAGCAATAGGGTTTCCTGCAGATTGATGCTTGCTCTGATTCATCTGTAAAACGTGGGTTTCCCCAGGGAGAGCACTTGGATGAAGGATGGAGGAAACAAAAAGCACCCAAAGAGCTTTAAAGCATTGATCCGTGCCTGGAAAGCGCGGTGCAAAAGGAAGTCTGAATGAGCCCTGAGTCAGACCGCTGGTCCACCTAGCTCAGTATTTTCTGCACTGGCTTGGTATCAGCTCTCCAGGGTTCCAGGCAAGACTCTCTTCCCAGCCGTGCCCTGAGATGGCGGGGATTGAACCTCTGACCTTCTGCGTGTGGAGAAGGGAACTTCCTCCCTCTGTGGCCAGCACAGAATTCTAGCCTAATAGACTCTTAGTGGGCTAGTAACTATTGTGGGCTTATTTACAAGCCTTCTCTGTATGCACAGATTTGGAAATTCAGAGCTAAGTCATCCATTGAGTAAAAGGCTTCTGAGAAATGATATATAATAAGATGAAAAAGATGTTGTAATATACATTTTTTTAAAAAAGAGAAGCATTTTTACTTGGTATTTTAAGTGGTGATATTAACAGACAGGACAAAAAATTGTTTTTATATGCAACAACAGCAGCAAGAGTACTGTTGGCACAGAAATGGAAACAAGAAGAATTACCGACGAAAGAAGAATGGCAGCAGAAATTAATGGACTATGCAGAATTAGATAAGATGACAGGAAGTATTCGAAACCTGCAGGACCAGGGATTCTCAGAAGACTGGAATAAATATGTGAACTATTTGAAAAGCAACTGTAATCAACATATTACGCTAGTAGGACTGCAAGAAGTTTTGTAAGGAGGAATTTGTGAAATATTGTAAGGAAGGCTATGATGAGAGAGTCAATAGATAAGATAATTAAAAGCAGTAGTGAAATTAAGAAATGTAAATTAAGTGAAAAAAAATTCAGATGTGATTGATGGAAGTCCAAAAAACTGTAAGATGTGACCTATGTTGAATGACGGTTGAAAATGATATATTAAAAAACTAATTTTCATATATGTGTGTGAGCAGCCACTAGTTTGGATGCATTAGAGATGGAGCTGCCCAGTCCGATGAGGGGGGTACAAATGAAAGCATTATTATTATTGGATAACTACACTTTTTGGCTCCTGGTGACGTTCTCTTGGCTTTATCTCTCCACAGAACTTTGAAGTCAAAGCTGATGACCTGGAGCCGATATCAGAACTGGGCCGCGGTGCATATGGCGTGGTAGAGATGATGCGGCACATGCCCAGTGGGCAAATTATGGCCGTGAAGGTAGACTCCGTGGTTATTCCTTCTTTGAACGCATTAACTGTCCAAATTAACTCCTTACCTTCCCAGCAGCTATTGACCTTTTTCAACACTTGTGTGTGTATATATGTGTCTGTGTGTGCATTTCTCTCTCTCACACAGAGAGAAACATACCCAAACACACATGCACAAATGCTTTGATAATTGATTTATTGATTTTTAATGGTAAAAGCAATATTTATTGAAGTGCTGACCGGGTGGGAGGACTCGAGCCAAACTCTGAGGATTCAGGTAGAGCAAGCTTGAACTTTCATCATTCATTAAATCTAAAGAAGTCCCAAAGATCAGCCTGTATTATTGTTCTGGATTCCTTCCAATGAACTGGGGGATTGTGTTCAATTAAGCAGGACATCATTAATATGGAGTAAAGGGGTGGGACTTGACTTACCCTACGAATCCCGTCAGCGGAAGCCAAGCATAAGGGCTTGTTCAATGGGGCTTCCTTCTTGCCACCTTCCCCATTCTCTGCCCCCCACCCAAAAATTGGCTCTTGGTTGGGAGAACCCCCAGAACAGCAGGAAGGGGGAAATTGTTCTAATTGGCAAGCAGAATTGCTTGCGCAGATGGAACATTCAGCATAGCATGACGTTGAATTCCATCCCAAGACATTTGTATTCTAGCTGCCATCTATTAGGTCAAACCACAAAATTGCCTTGCATTCCGCAAGTTATATTTTTATATTTTAAAATTAAACTTTGCATTCTTGCTTTGGATTTGGAGGAGATTTCAGGGTTGAAATACGTGGTCATGTTTCCCACCCAATTATACCTGTTCGTGCTCCAGATCAGCCTTACAGGCTCTTTGGAAGCGTTTGGCTGGCTCCCAGGGGTGCCAACTTGAATAAAATATGGGGTGGGGGGAGGCACACCATTTAAATGGCAATGCCCATCAACTTGGGGTGGGGGGAAGCCCCCTCAAATATTTTATTGGGGGGGCAAAGCCCCCACAGCTCCTAGGAGTTGGCTCCTATGCTGGCTCATGTTAGAATTGGGGTGTTTGACGAGGTGAATCATTGGTCTCTTGACTCTTGTAACTTGATTGTTTTGCCTTTTCCCTAAAATGTATTGAGTCTCTCCAGGACGATTGCTTTCAAAATGCGGGAGCGGTACTTTTCAACGTTGAGGGCTATTTGCATCCGCTCTCAGCTTGTCTTGTGTGAACTGAACTAGGGATGTAAGAGTTGGTGTTGGATATGAATGCATTTTGTTAGTACAGTGGTACCTCAGGTTACAGACGCTTCAGGTTACAGACTCCGCTAACCCAGAATTAGTACCTTGGGTTAAGAACTTTGCTTCAGGATGAGAACAGAAATCGCACGACAGTGGCGCAGCAGCAGCAGTGGGAGGCCCCAATAGCTAAAGTGGTATCTCAGGTTAAGAACAGTTTCAGGTTAAGAACGGACCTCCGGAATGAATTCAGTTCGTAACCAGAGGTACCACTGTATACATCTTTTGAGTGTGTTTTGATGATCACATATTGACTTAAGCTGACGTATGAAGAGACCATGTGCACGGTCGTAACACTTAACTAAGCTGATACATGGCCATCAGAACTGGGCCTTTGACATCTTGTCAGTAGGACAGGTTTTCTTAATCTTTGCAATCTCCCTTTAGGCATGAATGCCACTCTGATAGCATTCTATTAATGTATGCTTACTCCTGTTCCCTAACACAGTGGTTTGGTTATTATCTTTACAGTGGTGCCTCGCAAGACGAAAATAATCCGTTCCGCGAGTCTCTTCGTCTAGCGGTTTTTCGGTCTTGCGAAGCAACCCTATTAGCGGATTAGCGCTATTAGCGGTTTAGTGGCTTAGCGGCTTAGCGGCTATTAAAGGCTTAGCGGCTTAGCGGCTAAAAGGCTATTAGCGGCTTAGCGGCTTAGAAAAAGGGGGGGAAAGCGAAAAGAATCGCAAGAGCCCATAGGGAAATTCGTCTTGCGAAGCGCATTGAAAAACGGAAAACCCTTTCGTCTAGCGGGTTTTTCGTCTTGCGGGGCACCACTATATTATCAGCCAATATTGTCTTTGGGCTGGGTCCAGATGGACATAGCACAACCCTGTGCATGTCTATTTAGAAGCATGTCCCAATGAGTTCATGGAGACTTTCCCCCCGATAAGTGTGCATTGGATTGCAGCTGAACAGTTGGACTTGGTTGTCTTGTCTTTGTCCCATTTATTTCAATGGAAACTGACAAAGGTGGGCTCCAACCTTTTCTGTCCATAATAGAGCCCAAAGAACTGGTTGAAGATGTAAATTGCCTTATTCTCGGTTAGGATGTTGTAAAACAGTAGAGCCCGACGTACTTCCATGTTAGATAGTCCTCACTGGAGCAAAATATAACCTGTAAGTATATGAGCTTTGTGGATGGCAACTATTTCAAGTACTTGCAAGCATGTATTTCATAGAGGGCCATGTTTAATTATGTATTACTAAAATGTTTTGTTTATAATGATTTTTCGAATTGGGTTTCCATTTTAATGAGAGACTTTAATTTTGAAATCTTCAAATCGGAAAGAGGTGGGAGGAATCATTTTATTCAAAAATGTTTCACATTCCCAGTGGATTAAAACGCTTGGGGGAAAGTTTTACTTCTGCTTATATTGGCATCTCCCACTGAAGCTGATGATCCTACAAACTGGAAATGATTGTTGACGTTCTCATTTCCTTTCTGAAATATATATATCATGGGCCTTTGGGGACAAGGGCAGGTACTGGCACCAGTGTCATATATGGTTATGAAAGTCCTTTGAAGAGGGTAGTAACCATGGTTAGCTCACTGTTAATCCAAGGAATGAGCAGTTATAATCTACATTTTCCCCATCTGGCCCATGGTGCCAAGCTGTTTACCCAGCACATGGTACTACTGCCTGCCAGGGATTTTGACACATGAACCACTGCCAAAAAATAACTTCATCTTGGTTAGTGCTAACTACAGTTCAGTCCGTTAAACCATTTTTTTAGGATCCCAGTTGTACAGTAAAACCATAGTTTAGCTTGTTGAGCTAAGTTCGGCTGTTGTAGAAGGAGACACCAGCAAGGCATGCCTGTTGTCTTGCAAGCAAAGAGGCTGGAGACGCATGGAAGTTACCTTTAACCATGGTTTACTTAGCACAGAGGCAACAGATTACCATGGTTAATGCAAACAATGCCCTGGAAATCCACTACAGTTTTCCATTATGGTTAAAATATTCAAAATACTGGTTAAGCTTTATGTCCGTGTAGGGTCAAGTTGATCTGATCTGAAGCTTCACAGGAGCTTTGGTGTAAACCCTTTCAGGTAACCAGAGGCCTCCTGTGTACATTAATATTGGTGGACATGTTTAGGCATATAGGGGTGTGTGTGTATCTATACCTATATCTGTATATGTATGTGTGTTACACCCACCCACCCACCCGTTCTTGACATGAAGCTGAAAGAAGAGTCCTTGCTGGGTGAATCAGAGGTGCTGCACACACAGAGAGCCACCAGATTGGGGCAGGTGAAGGATGTATTGCTAAACCAGAGCCTCTTTCAGTAGCTTCCCTCCACCAAATGTTCTGCCATCATAGCTTTGTTAATGATGGAAAAACAGAGAAGAGAGAGAGAGAGGAGATAAAGCACTTCTGTAGTAACAATAATCCTTTGCCCTTCTATAGCACCTCACATCCGAGGATCTCACAGTGCTTCCCAGACATAAATTACGCCTGTGAGGTAGGTAAGCATTATTATCCCCATTTCACAGAGGCACAAAAGAGGCTTAAAGGGAGAGGAAAAAAAGCAACGTGCAAGCATGGCCTCTAATTTGGGGTGCCTGTTATGAGACACTTGCAACCTAAGCCTATGTATGTCTGCTCAGAAGTACGTCTCCCTAGTTTCAATGGGAATTACTCCCAGGTAAGTGTGCAAAGGGCCGCATTGCCACTAAAGCATTACTTTGCCATTAGGAACCAGAGTTCCTCGGGAGTCAGGGTTTCCCAAGTCAACATCTCTGCTGGCTTTGAGCTTCTGTGGCTGCTCCCGCGATCCATTTATAGGTTGTGAGATTTACCTAGGTATTGAGGCTTCCTTGCTTTTAACTGTTAGGCCACAACCGTTTGCCTTTTCGTTGTTGCTTAAAGTATGGGGCGTTGCGGAGGTGAAGCTGCCTTAGGAAAACGGAGGTGGCGCTGTTGACGTTTGCTTGGCGAAATGACCCAAGCAAAGTCACTCTTTTTTTTGTACCTGGTCAGTGAGTTCTTGGATGAAATTCACACGGCTCAGGGGAGGAGGAGAGTGAAAGCTGAAAACGAGTCTTTCTTTCAGCGAATCCGAGCGACAGTGAACAGCCAGGAGCAGAAGAGACTGCTGATGGACCTGGATATCTCCATGAGGACAGTAGACTGCCACTTCACCGTAACTTTCTACGGTGCGCTGTTTCGTGAGGTACGGCTTCGTAGGTCTCATCTTGTATCCTTCATTTGGGCTGCAGGCTTCACAGTACAGTACATAGGAAATAGCCTTCTTTTTTAAAAAAAACCAGATCATAGTATGCACTGCTTATTCTGACTTACAGTGGCTGTCCAGGGTCTCAGTCAGGCTGGCTCCATCCCCTGCTTGCTGATTCAAGGGATTGAACCTTGAACCTTCTGCATGCCATGCACCTGCTATACCAATTGTGCATATCCCCTCTGAACACGGATTGTTCTTTTAGTATATGTGCAGGACCTTAGTTGAGCAATACTGGGTGGTAATGTTAGTTAGCTCACAAGTTAGCTAGACCATAGGAAAGCAGAGCAAGGTATCTGCAGAGGGCTAACAGAAATATCTACCTTCTCAGCCACTCCAGAGAAGAAGAAGAGGAGTTTGGATTTGATATCCCGCCTTTATCATTACCCTCGAAGGAGTCTCAAAGCGGCTAACATTCTCCTTTCCCTTCCTCCCCCACAACAAACACTCTGTGAGGTGAGTGGGGTTGAGAGACTTCAGAGAAGTGTGACTGGCCCAAGGTCACCCAGCAGCTGCATGTGGAGGAGCGGGACGAGAACCCGGTTCACCAGATTACGAGTCCATTGCTCTTAACCACTACACCACAGCGGTTCCTGTATTGAATAGTACAGGAAGTGCGTACTGGGAACCAGTATGGTGTAGCAGTTAGAGTGTTGGACTAGGACAGTGGTGGCCAAACTTGGCCCTCCAGCTGTTTTTGGACTACAGTTCCAATCATCCCTGACCACTGGTCCTGTTAGCTAGGGATGATGGGAGTTGTAGTTCAAAAACAGCTGGAAGGCCAAGTTTGGCCACCACTGAACTAGGACCTAGGAGACCAGGGTTGCAAATCACCACTCAGCCATGAAACTCACCGGGTGACTTGAGCCAGTCACAGTCTCTTAACCAAACCTACCTCACAGGATTGTTGTGAACATAAAATGGAGAGGGAAAGATATGTCACCTTGGAGAAAAGTTGGAATATGAGTGTAATAATAGTCATAATTTTTGGTTCTCTCTTAAAACTTCCATTTGGTGCACGCAGTCAGTTAAATGGTTAAAGAGCGGTTGATTAAAAAAGGTTGGCTCCCCTGCCCTTTTCCTTCTGTGTTAACTTTATTGATGAAACGGGGATTCCAACCTGTCTGACAGCTTGTAACTTCCTTTTCTCCTTTCTCCAGTGCCAGGTCCCTTCTTCCTCTCCCAACGCCTCGTGTTTCCCAGTACTTCCTAAAAAAGCAAAACAAAATTCCACACAACAGGAAAGCGACGTTTAGTGCCAGAATTCCAGATTTTTTTTAAAAAAAATTGGTGTTTTGCTTGGCATGAAAACGATCACTGCAGAAATTGAAATCCTGCTTCTGTTTCCTCATTGCACCAATTGGAATTTGTTTTGGAGGACGGAATGCACATGGGCCAAATAATCCTTCAAATAGCCCTTCTTGGCTACCGCTGCGCTTAGCAAACTTGTTCCCTTCCTCAAGGAAGTTAGCCTTGAGGCCCCAATGTTTCTGTGGTCAGAGGGGAGCCAGCTTTGTGCTGCGATGCTGCAGCTTCAGAAAACAAAATAGCTATGCAGCTTAATTTTACATCATTAGTGAAATGGCTGAGGTAACTTGTGGCCGAGACTGGAATTCAGACAAGGGGATGGGAGGGTGCAATGCCCCACACTCTGCTCATGGTCTTCCCAAATCCTGCACTGCCATGAGATGTTGGTACATGTATTTATTCAGGTTGTATGTCATGCTACACAGTGTGATGGGAGAGATATTCGTTCATACGTGTGCTCCAGAATGTACTGGGAACCAAACTCAAAAGCGCTGGTGCTGACCTTTAAAGCCCTAAACAGCTCCGGCCCTGTATACATGAAGGAGTGTCTCCACCCTAATCGTTCAGCCCGGACACTAAGATCTAGCTCTGAGGGCCTTCTGACAGTTTTGTGGGAAGTGAGGCTATAGGGAACCAGGCAGAGGGCCTTCTTTGTAGTTGTGCCCACCCTGTGGAGTTCCCTCCGGTCAGATGTCAAGGAAATAAACAACTATCAGAACACATCTGACGGCAGCCCTGTATAGGAAAGCTTTTAATGCTTGATGTTTTACTGTGCTTAATGTTTTAATTTGTTGGAAGCCGCCCAAAGTGACTGGGGCAACCTAGTCAGAAGGGTGGCATATAAAATAATAATAATAATAATAATAATAATAATAATAATAATAATAATTATTATTATTATTATTATTACAGGGGTATCTCAGGTTACATACGCTTCAGATTACATACGCTTACAGGTTACAGACTCTGCTAACCCAGAAATATTACCTCAGGTTAAGAACTTTGCTTCAGGATGAGAACAGAAATCGTGCTCTGGTGGCATGGCAGCAGCAGGAGGCCCCATTAGCTAAAGTGGTGCTTCAGGTTAAGAACAGTTTCAGGTTAAGAACAGACCTCCAGAACAAATTAAGCTCTTAACCCGAGGTACCACTGTATTATTATTATTATTATTATTATTATTATTATTATTATTATTATTAGAATAGGGAGGCATTGATGGCAATGCACATTCACTTGGTTGGAAGCAGGTATGTGTGTGTGCTTGTTTGCAGTTGGCACTCCAGAGTAGAGAATTATTGGCACCATTCTTTTCCCTCTGCCTTTCCCCAGGGAGATGTTTGGATTTGCATGGAATTGATGGACACTTCACTGGACAAGTTCTACAAGCAAGTCATTGACAAAGGCTTGACGATTCCTGAGGACATCTTAGGAAAAATAGCCGTCTCAGTGAGTGCTTCTGGGTGTTTTTTTTTTTTGCTTTAATCCTCTTCCAAAGGGGATTCAGCTCCCTTTCCATCTTTGCAGCCCACATCTGCCAGTCAGCTGTTAAATGTACAAAAGTTGCAAAGGGAAAATGGAGAACAAATAGCAGCTGGCTTCTCTTTTAGGGCTTATCCTTGGTATTTATGAGCCACATCTTCCGAAAAGTAGCCTGGAAAGCCCTTCATGAGAGAAGAGCCAGAATTTGTTTTGCAAAGCGGGGTTAGGGAGCCCTGTGGGGAAACATTAAGAGAGAGGTGAGCTGAGGGCCAAATGACATGCAATGAAAATACCTGTTTGTTCTTTGACTTTAGTTTCAAAGACTGAAAGTTACCTGAGGATGAGGGACTGGTGGCTTGATCGCAGATTGCCATTTGAGAGGGGATGCTTAATTGCTTCCTTGAGCCATTTTTCTGCTACGGGGAACTTTCCCCCTCCAGCTCCTTTCTTACCTGTGGAGGAAAACAATATTTTTCCTCTGCAGGTGAGGAACAATCCCAGGGCTGCTTTCTTTTTGTGTACTTTGCCTCTTAGAAGATGTGCTTTGGAGACACCTTATACTGGGTGTATAACCTGGAATTCCAAGGAATTTAGAACTCTGCTGGAATTCAGCCATCAAAACTTCCTAAAGAATGATGCCCAAAGCTTGAACACACTGTGATCCCTTGAAGGTTGTTACATCAGTGTTTTATTTTGAGCACACTGCAAAGAGGGGGGTTGGAAGAGCAATGAATAGTATGAATCATGTTTTATCACCCTGGTGCCAGACTGCAGGCTCAGCACTCTCCTGCCTGTTAATTGCCCAAACGCCCAACCTAGACTGTCTCCAGCCTGGTTAAGTGTTGAAAGAAGAGCTAACCTGTGGCCTGGGAGGAACGAGCGAAGCAGAATACTTCTGCTTCAGCCAGCTTCAGCTCGTTCTTATCTGTCTGTCCCTGTTCTTTTTTTCCCCTTCCAGATTGTGAAAGCGTTAGAGCACCTACACAGTAAGCTGTCTGTAATTCACCGAGGTAAGTGCGACCAGAATTGGAGGCCATAACAATTCTGGGTTCTGGAAAATGGGTTGAAGAGCGCTGTGCAAAGTGCTAAATGGCATTTCCATCAGTTTAGGTCAGTTTGAAGCTGCATCAGCGAACAAGACTTCTCCCTGATGGCCGAGGGTACTTAGTACCCATACTCTTTCCAGGCACAACCCAGGATGCTGATTTTGACCTGGCCAGTATTGCTTCAATACTGGAACTCTCATTTTGGCTTTGCCAAATGCTGTTTTGGTACTTTTCCTACATCAGCATCCCCACCTGCATCTGAGATAATGGAATTGGCCTACCTGTACATTGCGGTTGTAAGGATTACTGTGGTATAATGGATTGGACCCAAAGTGATGCAAAATGGAGAACAGCTAGTGCAGTGGAATTTCCCCCCTACCCCTTTCAGTCTCCTGTGTCTCACAAACAGCCTCACTTGGAGAGTCAGGGCCTGCGCTGAGTAGTGATGGCTGGAGTGGAGGGGCTTCAGTGATGGGGATATTATCTAAAATTGGGCAAAAGAACTATCTGCTTCTGCAACTTGGGGTCCAAATAATATATGTGCCTTGATCACTTAAGAAAAGCACACAAATATTTACATATCATTGTCATATAAGGCAAAGGTAACGGTAAAGGACCTAGTTAAGTCCAGTCAAATTCGACTATGGGGTGCGGCGCTCATCTCCCCTTTCAGGCCGAGGGAGCTGGCACTTGTCCACAGACAGCTTTCCGGGTCATGTGGCCAGTATGGCTAAACCACTTCTGGCACAATGGGACACCGTGACAGAAGCCAGATGCACAGAAATGCCGTTTACCTTCCCGTTGCAGCTCTACTTATTTATCTACTTGCACCGGTATGCTTTCAAACTGCTAGGTTGGCAGGAGCTGGGACAAAGCAACAGGGATGGAGGTGGCACTGTGGTTTAAACCACCGAGCCCCTTGGGCTTGCCAATTTTACGGTCGGCAGTTCTAATCTGCGTGACGGGGTGAGCTCCTATTGTAATATAACTTGCCCACTTGGAATCCTCCCTCATTAAGTGTCATAGGAAGATGCTTGGAGGCAAACCCAGCATCTTCTGCTTCAGTGTAAGAGATAAATCACTTCTTTAATGGCAATTCAGAGTAGAGATAATTTCATTGAAATTGTTTTGCTGTGAGTCCTTATTAATCCACATTTAACAAAACAGGAATCAGCACTGGAAATACACAATGGCTACTGTCACATATAACTCAACCAGTAGTCTTCTACCTTTTCAGCCCCAGGACTCACCTTTATCTCAAACATAGGTTTGCGGACCCTTTTATTAACTTTTTCTTTTAACCGTATATTTGTTAGTTTGGAGTGACGTTTGCTTGGAGGAAGGAAACCTCCAGTTTAGATGACAGACAAACCAAACTCTGACTTGTCTCATCAGCGGTCAGGGAGGAGTGCTGTTGGAACTTTCGAGCTCAGTCACATTAAACCATAGTTCGTTTTAAACAATGGTTGGATGAAATGTGTGAAGCAGGCCAAACCATGGCTTAATGAAGCTCACTTGTTTAACCAACCAGAGGTTCGATAAACAATGATCCCTGTTTAATACAAAATGGCATGCCAAGATTAGGGGAGTCCTTCTGGCTGCCTGGTAGAAGGAGAAAAATGGGGAAAGCACCTGCAAATAGGGTTTTGCTCGGGCTCATTCTGCACATAGTTCTAAATCATGGCTTAGCATTAAGCATAAATGTGACCACCAGCTCTCTACGTCTTCTTCCCTGCCATAGAATAAACCAGGGTTTCTGTAAGTCTTGGACAATCCGGCTGGTATAACTGTTGCTGAATGTTGGTGCTAACCATGGTTGAAAGAAAGACAGCAGTTGTGCTCCAGGGAGAAGAAGCAGCATGGGTTCTTAATGCTGGCTCCCAGTCTCTTTAACGATGGTTAACAGCGAGCCAGAATGGAACCTGCATCTCTGTTTGGCCCCTGTGACTTCTGCTCAAACTTGTACCCCTGTTTTTGAACTTTTACTGGATAGGAGTCCAACGTCTGTATGGTGGCAGGCTCCCTGTCCCTGGCCTACAGCCTGGGAAAAGACATCATTTTCTTATCTCCTGTGGTTCTCAAGTTGATAAGTGAAATGTATGCTGGTGCCCTCTGGTGGCTCATGTTTGTCCTCTTCCATTTCTGCTGTAACACTACTGCAAGCAACCTGCTTCCTGTGCATTCCACCTTGCAGATGTCAAGCCCTCAAACGTACTGATCAACACACTGGGACAGGTGAAAATGTGTGACTTTGGAATCAGCGGTTACCTCGTTGACTCCGTGGCCAAGACGATGGATGCTGGCTGCAAGCCTTACATGGCAGTAAGTTCAGGTTACCAGGTTTTTTTCAATGAATCTGGGGACACTTTTCAACTTCAGTGGATTTTGTATGGGGACTGATGTGTAAATCCGGGGACTGTCCCTGGGAAACAGGGACATCTGGCAACCTTACAGTAAGTGCAAAATACGGGAAAAGTTCACTGTACTTCCTGACTCTTTTTACATGTATGGGGGCAGGTTTTCGTTTCTGTTCATTTTCAGTATTTCTGCTTTGCAGAAGGGCTTCCACTTGTGCAATGGGATCTGCCCCCCACTCCACAAATTGCTGAAATTGGCCAGGGGAGAGAATCCCCAGACCTGCATGTACTGGAAGGAGATGGGGGATCATTCTGTCTGGCAAGCCAAACTGCTTTCACTGACAGTACTCTCGGGAGAGTGTATGTTAAATTCCAAGTTGGGGAAGGCTACTCTTAACAAAAATCAGATTAAGGCAGAAAGACGTTCCCTGTGAAATCTCTTCAAAGCCTAAGGGAATAGTTACACATTGCATACACCTTCATTCATTTGCATGCATACAGGAAGTTGAGAGAGTCTTCTTCCTCCATCAGCTGAGGGATTTACAACTTGGGCAACTAAATATAATGCTATTTGTGTTCTCTCTCTTCCTCCCCCCACCCCAGCCTGAAAGAATCAACCCAGAATTAAACCAAAAGGGATACAGCGTCAAATCCGATATTTGGAGTCTGGGAATCACTATGGTAAGAGTTTACACAGGAAGGCCTGATGGACTGTGTCTACTGAAGAGAGTTTTGTCCGTTTGGCCTTGTTCCACACGTAAAATATTTTGCAATCGGCGGCTGATTGCGATTAATAAAATGCCTGAATATAGCTCAGGCCTTTAGCCTTCAATACAGTGAAGACATGGTGAGCTCGAAATGTGTCCATGTTTAAATGCGGAACATTCTGTGAGAGGAAAGATTAACAATTTCACTGTTTTAAGTTCGCCACTGTACTTAGCAGAGCCCACTGCGGTCACGGGGGTTACGTGAGAGCAGGAGAAATATCTTGATTTTTTTGGGGTGGGGAATGCGGTTTGACTGCTTCTGCCTCTTTACATGGGCGTCTGTCATGGATGCTTTAGCTGAAATTCCTCCATTGCATGGGGTTGGACTAGGCAACCTACCTTGGAGTCTCTTACAACTCTACAACTCTATGATTCTAGTATTTTATTGAGGCTGGAAAGAGCTGTGAGTAACTCATGTGAGGGTTGTGTTGATACTGGATTAATACTGGCGGTTGGAGTTTATAGGAAGTCCGGAACAGTAGTCGTCAACCTTTTTTCAGAAACAAGACCCATGACTTTTAGTCTAAATGTGTGCATTTTAGTATTCCATTGTATGCCATATACAGTGGTACCTCGGGTTACATACGCTTCAGGTTACATATGCTTCAGGTTACAGACTCCGCTAACCCAGAAATAGTACCTCAGGTTAAGAACTTTGCTTCAGGATGAGAACAGAAATCGTGCTCTGGCGGCGCAGTGGCAGTGGGAGGCCCCATTAGCTAAAGTGGTACTTCAGGCTAAGAACAGTTTCAGGTTAAGTATGAACCTCCAGAACGAATTAAGTACTTAACCTGAGGTACCACTGTATTTGTCTGGCAGGTATTTTTGTGTTTGTGTGTGTGTGTGAGAGAGAGAGAGTGAGAGAGAGAGAGAGTGAGTGCGTGACAGAGATCACTATTACAGATAAGGCATAGAGCGGTGGTTTTCAGCCTTTTTCTTTTTAAGGGAACCGTTTCCTTAGCCACAGTCTACTGGGGAGCACATGTTGCAGAAAACTGTGGGGAATATGAGCATCCTTCACCAACCCACCATGTGTTTTGGACTACAAATCCCATCATCCCTGACAATTGCCCGTGCTGGCTGAGGCTGATGGGAGATGTTGTCTAGGCAAGAGAGATGGGGAGCAGGGGGAGATGGTTCTAGGTGGGGTACAGGCCTATTGAGCCTTATCACCACCACATGTGATTTGAGAATGTGCCATGGCACAAACACAATGTCCCAAGTTGTCGCCGATCGCCAGGGGTGATCCGTAGTTGCAAGTAAGCAGACTTTTGAGGAAACTTGCCCACCATTACTTACCTTCTTACTAAGGAGCCCCAAATACACTTCTTGAAAACTTGGAGATTGCCCCCCAAAATGCATTTTGAGAGCCACTGGCATGAAGAAATGCTTCATTGGAGCAATTTTCTTCCCCGCCCCCCCTTCTCCAGCTGACCTCTTGCAGACCTAAAGCTGTCCCTTCTCATTTGTTTGCAGAGGTCCTAATTCCCCCCACAAAGGAGTGTTTTCACTTCGTGTGGGTATCCGAGTTTCTCTTGACAACGTTCAAGAGACATCAGATGAATTGTGCTAAGAACCATAGGCAGAAATAGGTCAGAAGGAAAGCAGGCTGTCAGGAGAGACGCCTAGATTTCCGGATGTAGTGTCAGCTTGTATGCCGGCGGCAGCCTGTTTTCTAGAACAACCAAGTCAGCAGCTTTGAGCATCCTTGGGATTGATCAGTTTTTAAAATCGGGACTGGCTTCCTTAAAAAACAACAACCCAGAACCAGACTAGTTTGGGTAGGCAGGTGAATTTCAGAACGTACAAGCGTTCCGCAGCCTCTTTTAAAACAGTGCTTCCGATAAATGCTAATGCAGCTAGGCATCAGCGTGCATGTGTAGGTTGTTTATCTGAAAGAAACCTGGTGCCCTGCAGTCATAATCTGTCTCCATACTCGCTCAACTGGCACCACGCCTGCTTCAGGGAATCAGAGCATTCAGAGCAAACAGACAGCTTCTTTTGGCAAGCTGGAATCGTTCTCCAGGGAATGATGAGTCCCCTCTGGTTGAACAGCCCCTGTGGGTAGGGAATGGAGAGGGAGAGGACAGAGAGCATACCCTCCCCTAGCATTCTGCATTCTCCAAGGAAGGCTGTGGGTACGTGGCGCAAACCAGCTGAACTGGCCTCACATGCTGCTACTTTTAAATATTCCCAGGGACATGCCGTCTCCAGGGATTCGTACAGGCTGTGCCTTCCAGAGGCGCCAAATGAGCCCAGGGTTTCTAAGGGGGGAGCGGAAAAAAGAAAAGAGGGAGCAGAAGCCATAAGAGGAGGTCCGGTGCCATTGCGGGGCCTTGCCTGCAGATGGCAGCAAAAGCTACGGTTGTTAGGGAAACGGAACAGTAGTGTTTGTCTCTTCACTGTACTTTTTAGATAAGATAAAGGTAAAGGGACCCCAGACCATTAGGTCCAGTCGCAGACGACTCTGGGGTTGCGGCACTCATCTTGCTTTACTGGCTGAGGGAGCAGGTGTACAGCTTCTGGGTCATGTGGCCAGCATGACTAAGCTGCTTCTGGCGAACCAGAGCAGTGCACAGAAACGCCGTTTACTTTCCTGCCGGAGCAGTACCTATTTATCTACTTGCACTTTGATGTGCTTTTGAACTGCTAGGTTGGCAGGAGCAGGGACCGAGCAATGGAAGCTCACCCCATCACAGGGATTTGAACCACCAACCTTCTGATCGGCAAGCCCAAGAGGCTCATTGGTTTAGACCACAGCGCCACAGCTTTTTCCTTGCCTTTAGTATACAGTGGTACCTCAGGATACACACGCTTCAGGTTACAAATACTTCAGGTTACATACTCTGCTAACCCAGAAATAGTACCTCGGGTTAAGAACTTTGCTTCAGGATGAGAACAGAAATTGCGCAGCGGCAGCGGGAGGCCCCATTAGCTAAAGTGGTACCTCAGGTTAAGAACAGTTTCAGGTTAAGAACGGACCTCCGGAACGAATTAAGTTCTTAACCCGAGCTACCACTGTATAAAGGTACTTTATAAAGGTACCTTTATAAGGTACCTTTCTTTTTTAAAAAATAAAAAATAAAATAGCCTCAGAAAGTGATATTGATGTCTCTCCATCTTGTCTCCACGCCCAGATTGAACTGGCCATTTTGCGGTTTCCATACGAGTCCTGGGGGACGCCATTCCAGCAGCTCAAACAGGTGGTGGAAGAGCCATCGCCTCAGCTCCCAGACACCTTCTCTGCAGAGTTTGTTGATTTTACCTCACAGTGGTAAGCATGAGTCATTTTTTGGGGTGGGTGGGGACCCCACGAGACCCCAACCTAACTTTAGAGCCTGCTCCCAGACTTACGCAGTCAAAGGGGGTGGGGTGGGAGGTGAGCCTTTGGCTTTCGAAATGTTGTTGGACTCCTAGCTGCGATCAGCCCCAGCCAGCATAACCAACAGGCAGGTATTAATGATTATGGTCATTATCACTATTGTGGATACATTTAATCACCTTCCAGACAAGCATCTCAAGCCGGCGTACACCTAAAAAACACCCAACCAGTTAGAAACACAAAATAGACCCTTGTGGCTGATAGGAATTGTAGTCCAACAACATTGGGAGGCCAGAGGTTCCTCTATCCCTGACCTAGTTTATTGTAGTTTGTTTGCACCAAATGCTATTGAAGACCTTTGTGTGGTCACCAGGAATTTGCTTGGTTTTAATAGTAAGCTGTCAGTAGAATTTGACTGGTTTTACTGTGATTTCTTTTATTTTGGAGTACACACACACACACACACGTATGCATATAAATGCATACACGTAATTTAAAAGTATTAGTTCTCCACCACCCTTCATTAATTATTTTGGGATAGTTTGCAGTAACAAAATAACGTCTTAAACTATTTCAATAAATACATAAATCAAATGCATTACGTTATTAGTTTGTTGTTTTTTTAAATAAAGAAGAATTACATGCTGCCTTTTTGGCTCTTAAAAAAAAAAGGTAAAAAGGAAGTTTGCAGCTATAAGGGTCAAAAGCATTGGGTTGGGGCCAGAATTCGCACTACAATGAAGGAGAAAAAACAAAACAATAACTTAAATCAGATTTAAAATGCATTAAAATTCTGCGGCAACGGCAACAGCAAATGACCCCACCGCTCGCCCCAAATAACCAGCTCTGGTGTAGCTGGACTGAACTTGCTATTGTCCCCCTGGGTGAAATTTTAAATTGTAAGCTCATTGGGGCAGGAGCCAATCACCTTTTACTTTATAGAGCAGTACCCATGCTTGTGGGTTAAACCCTACCTTGTCCCCAGAATTCAGCTTATCAGTTAAAATCTTTGCAGGATTGAGGTTGATGGGTCTGGCTGTCAGGTATAAGAAGCCCATTCCTCCTTGAAAATTTGTCACAAATATCCATGCTGTAGAGGAAGTAGGGATACTTATTTTAGTCCACTACTTACTTTAAAAATAAATAAATAAATAAGCCAGTTTAATTACTCAGCAGATGCTTGCCTTTGGCTGCTAATGGCATGATCAAGATACTTGCTCTGGAAGTAGCTGCTCCATTGTTTTGAAAACAGGCAGAAGCTCTCAAGGGAATCGGACAAGGTGCATATCTGAGCCTGGTCTTTACGTCAGCCATCTCTACTTCCACTCCCTTCTTCCTGAGCCGAGGCACGTGTGTCTGAGTGAACTTTCCTCAAGGACTGTTTCCTGTAGCTTTCAGGAAATGTCATGTTGACCTCCTAATGGTCTATGTGGGAAGTGACTCAGTGTGTCAGAGTTCTGGTCCTTTACTTCTCTGGGGCAAGACGCGAAACGCCATTGTGCCGAGGCAGATGGCATGTGGAGGTGGACCTGCTAAGAAGATGGGAGTGTGAGGAGAAGAGAAAGGACCGTTGAAATAGAGCAGTGTAGAGTCTTTGGTTCCTGCAGGCTGCCTAAAAGAATGGAGTTCCTTTTGTGACATTTAAATGGGTGCTGTTTTACTTCATTGTTTCATAGTGGCCTTTTTTGAGCCATTAGTCCTCACACTGTAACTTTATGTTCTTTCAGACGGCCAAACTTGCCATCGTATCATCCCGTCTATCATCTTCAGTTTACATCTTGCATCTTCAGTTTACCCCTATCTTGCCTTCTGCCTTCTTATTGCTACTTTCATCCAAATCCTTCCTCTCTCTCTCTCTCTCTCTCTCTCTCTCTCTCTCTCTCTCTGTGTGTGTGTGTGTGTGAGAGAGAGAGAAAGAAATAGATTTAAACTACAAAAATGCAGCCTAGGTTCGTAGTAAAGTTATGAAAAGCTTATGGGAAAGGAATAAATTAGCAGAAGAATATGAAATTTCCTCATGGCCAGCTTGGATAGAGTTCAATGCTAGTTTATTTTTTAAAAAAAGACAGCCCAACAATTTTCGACATGCACACTCTCTTCTGTCAGTTTTGATAAGCAAAGACATGGGGTGTGCGTGTATGCGCACACGAAAGAATCATTGGGTTTTGTTATATTACACAGCATAAGAGTTTCCGTAAACCTGAGCTCTGAGATGATGCAGTGAGAGATGGGCAGGAAATATCCCTTCAGTAAGCATCCTCCACTTCCCCCCTACCCCCTTGGCTTGGCAAATCCCAGAAGAGGGTGTGTTTACTATAGCCCGATGATCACACTTTTGTTTCTCTCAGTGTGACACTTTACACCTCCTTCCCCTCACTGCTCAAGCATGTGTACGTGTGGAGATCTTTTTCAAGTCACTCCAAGCATCTTCCCCGTAAATACTCTGCCAGGAAGTGAGTTGCTATTACATCCTGTCTTCAAAGCTATTTTCAGCTGCAGGGAGACCGGAATAAATGGATCTTTTTTACCCTTCCACCTCACCCGTTCAAGTCACAGACAAACTTTCCCAGCCACCCATTGTAGTAATAATAGCTGTTTGCAGAAAGGAAGAAGCATGCCCAGCTGGCCTGTCCTGGCAATGGGTGACGCAGATCAAAGGTGATGGGAAGGTAGAACAGCCCCCCGTGTTGTGTACAGCTGATAGATGAATATTATATGTGCTCATCTCTTTGGGGGGTGGGAATGTCTGAGGAGGCTCATCTACAAGTAAGTAAGTATGCCAGTTCAGCTTGTCCTGGTGCCCTGCAAAGTATACTGGGAATTGAAGTTTGGCGAGGGCACTGAAACAGCTTGTCACCAGCTGTGCAGAATTAAAAGTTTGCCTTGGAATCCCAGTCACACTTAAGTCACCATACAAATGATATGCCTGAAGGGCTCTTCACATGATTGCCAGAGAGCAGGGCAGAACAGCTTCTCTTGGCCCCTTTTCCAATGCCTGCAGTTTTAAGGGAAGTTTAAGCATGGGAGTTAATGCAGGAGGGATTCTGTGTTCATAGCTCTCTACATGCATAGGCATGGGAGCTGGAACCATGCATGATCTAGTTACATGTTTGGGTGGACATCAGTTGACATCGCTTTGGTTCCATTTCTGGTGTCCTTTGGTGCTGAGACTGGTGCAAAGCAAGTCCCATCACCCTCCTTTACACAGATAATTCATTGTGTTTTCATGGGCAAGTTGGCTGTTTGCTTCTATTGGTTGAAACACGCCTATAATTTTCCTTTCTCTCTCTTCCTCCCCCCTTAAAGCTTGAAGAAGAATTCCAAAGAGAGGCCAACATACCCTGAACTAATGGTGAGTTTGTAGTTGCAACAGATCCAGGTGCAGTACAGGCAGAAAACACAAGTTTTGGTTCTGACAACTTCTTGTTGCAGATGCTCATCCTGAGAATTGGTTTGGTTTTTCCCTCTGGGTGGATGGAAACCCACAAATGTCAGCGTTCTTTTACGTTATCTGAATCATGTTTTGAGCCAATAGCTTACCTTAAAGGTAAAGGTACCCCTGCCCATACGGGCCAGTGTTGACAGACTCTAGGGTTGTGCGCTCATCTCACTCTATAGGCCGGGAGCCAGCGCTGTCCGCAGACACTTCCGGGTCACGTGGCCAGTGTGACAAAGCTGCATCTGGCGAGCCAGCGCAGCACACGGAAATGCCGTTTACCTTCCCGCTAGTAAGCGGTCCCTATTTATCTACTTGCACCCGGGGGTGCTTTCGAACTGCTAGGTTGGCAGGCGCTGGGACCGAGCAGCGGGAGCGCACCCCGCCGCGGGGATTCAAACCGCCGACCATGCGATTGGCAAATCCTAGGCGCTGAGGTTTTACCCACAGCGCCACCCGCGTCCCTAATAGCTTACCTTAGGCAGTGTGAAATCCAGCGGCTGCCTTAAGTCCCAAACCCACACATTACTCAGGGAGGTGCAGAATGGGTAAATTTGTACTGGAATCCTCAAAGATCATTAAGTCTCCTTAATCAGCACTACTGTTTCTGCCAGATGGAAACTCAAGAACCAGTTAGGGTTGCCATATTTCAAAAAGTGAAAATCCGGACACAAAAGTTGTTGCGCTTTTCCCGGACATTTCAGCAATTTCCACCCGGATGTTGCTAAAAAGGCCCTGCAGTTTGGAGGGAGATGACTGTAGTTTTTCTTTCTGAAGGGGCTTTTATACAAATTTACAAGCTGCTTTTACTGCATGGGATCCATTTTTACGGTAGAGAAGTTGCAGTTCCCTTTCTCTTCTATGACCTGTACCCATGAAATCACTATATCAAGCAAGACTGCATGAATCTCCAAAAACGTTTGTGGCAACCACCACCACGTCCTGCTCACATCTGTGAAGTCCCTGGGGAAGGGAGGTGGGGAATTCTGACAACGATTTCAACCCTCCCATCCATTTATGTGTATAATATAGCAGTACACATTTCCTTCTTAATGCTGGTGAAATTCTGAGATGCTCCCAAGTCTGCCACCTTGTTTTGACTCTTTTTAAATGGTGGTTCTGATATCCAAGTGTAAGTTTCTGAATGATTATCCTCTTCTTTTCTTGTAAAAGAAATTTGTATAAGTAATTCCTATGAACAACAACAAGCAACAACAACAAGCGACATGGCACCAGCTTACTACACTTTTTAGTGATAGCTGATCCATGGCCATTTGATGTACCTTTGGGAACTATTAATTTGCTGATGAAGATTTATCATTGAAACAGTTCATTATCCTAGAAGAACTGTACTGTTCTTGCTGTTGTGCTCGGAGCAGCCTATTTCGATGTTGGAGCACCCATCAGCTCACGTTTGTAGGACATTGACTGTGGAAAGGCATTCTGCCTCCATTTCAGTGATCTTTGACAGTGACTTACCACTCCTACCATTCCTGTTCATGGAACATTTATTTGATTCTTACTATTTTGTGACTCCATGAACATATTATATGTCTTCTGTTTATGAATTTTGAAACAGTATAGTGTTATAAAAATATTGTCAGTATAATATTAGCCGATGTGTTGCTTGTTGTTGTTTAGAGTGTTCTGTTTTGCAACACAGGATTTTCTTTGGTGTATAAGTAATTCCTATGGCATTTCTGCAAAAGGGATCTATAACGCAATTATCATGTAGGGTTGTGGGTTCAAGCCCCACGTCGGGCAAAAGATTCCTGCATTGCAAGGGGTTGGACTGGAGTAAGCCAGTGGTCCCTTCCAACTCCAGCATTCTGTGATGCTATGTACCTTTCATTAACAGCTTTTTAGGTGGAGAAAGGCCTCAATTTATTGGCTCTTGTTTAAAAATGTACCATACGTGCATTTATAGAATTTATCCCTCCACCCGCTTCCAAATCATACAGCGGTGTTTTTAACCACGTGGCTTTTTAGCACACACTGGGTTCGCCAGGGTGGAAGCGAGGAAAGGCATGTGCTTCAGCCAAACTCTGGTTGGCAGCCCTGCACATTTCTATTGAATTAGGATGTTGGATCACCTCTGAAATCTATCTCAGCATTGTGGTATTTTATGGCTGACATTCTTGTTGTAAGGTCCTGTGGTTTGGGCTTTTCCTCCCTTAGCCCTTTTCACTTTCCCATGGCAGTAGACCTTGCGGTCCTGGAATGGGCTGCTTGTCTTTGAAGGCTGAGGCTGCTTCTTTTGCTTTCCTGCGTCGTTGAGGTTTCAAGTGGAAAATGAGAGGATGACTCGGGCATGGCTAGAGAGCTAATTTTCTTACTTACTTACGCTTTGCTTTATATTACCGCCGTGGTTTCCAAAACGCGTCCTGGGGAACCCTGGGGTTCCTTGGAAGCTGATGGGAGGTTCCGCCTGGGAGAATAACATTAATGGCAGGCAAAGCTTCCTTCAAAGACAGATTGGCCAAAAGGGTGTTCGTTAGGCTGGGAGACAGGCCCAAGACCAAGGACAAATTCTTCACCCCAGAATCCTTTGCAACATAAGCCAGTTCCATGAGCCGGGAAGTTGCAGAAGGCTGAAAGTTTGAAAACTGGTCATTTTCCTCACAGTTTTTTTCTTTTTTCTTTTTGGACATTGATGTTCAGATTTTCATCTGGCTGGTTACCGTGAAGTTCTTAACATTAGTGGCAGGATCCCATATATTTGACCACCCTTTCCCAGGCCCCATCTCCAGCTGGAGAGAATGAGTGTTACTCTTTCTCCCTCCCTCACCCCCTCAATGCCATTTGCAGATGATGCTCTACTCAAATGCTGGAGTACCATGTTAGCTATACCCACTGCACTGCACTGCCTGGGTTAAGGGGAACACCTATTCTGAGCATGGGAACACTGTCCCATTCCTACAGGGCTGGCTTACACATTGCTCCAACATGTACAGTGTGGCACAAGAGTATTCCTGCATAAACACACCTCAACACTTCGGACATTTAGTATGAATTAAGGGCTATCGGTGTACTGTTGTGTTGTTGTGTGTACTGTTGTGTTGTTATATATTGCATGGAAGTAAGCTCCCACGCAGGGACGCGGGTGGCGCTGTGGGTAAAACCTCAGCGCCTAGGACTTGCCGATCGCATGGTTGGTGGTTCGAATCCCCGCGGCGGGGTGCGCTCCCGTTGCTCGGTCCCAGCGCCTGCCAACCTAGCATTTCGAAAGCACCCCCGGGTGCAAGTAGATAAATAGGGACCGCTTACTAGCGGGAAGGTAAACGGCATTTCCGTGTGTGGCTCTGGCTCGCCAGAGTAGCTTCGTCACGCTGGCCACGTGACCTGGAAGTGTCTGCGGACAGCGCTGGCTCCCGGCCTATAGAGTGAGATGAGCACACAACCCTAGAGTCTGTCAAGACTGGCCTGTACGGGCAGGGGTACCTTTTACCTAAGCTCCCACACACAGTTTCTTGTGGCATATATGTTGCATGGGGAGAGATTACTGGCAGACACCCCAGTCCATACATAATGGCCAATTTATGGAGTTTTGTCTGACCCCACCATGTGTCATGCACATAACTTATGAACATTTCATTTCGCTGTACTTATTTACTTGCTTTTATCCTGTATTTTATTCTGCGAACTTCCCTGGGATCTTATGATGAAGGGCAATATAGAAATATAATTATACATATGCACATACTTGTGTTTGAGCCAGCCCTAAATAAGTCTGAGACAGGATTTAGATGAATAGATTCTTCTTTCGCCTAAACCCTGGTGTGACTGCAGCTACAATGCGTAATCTAGGAGCCAGCCAAAGAGATCTAGATCATACATGAGAGTCACACCTCGTACCACATAGAAGTGGCCCCTCCCTCCCTCAAAGCCTTCGTATTCAAAACTCATTTGCTCATTGACTGAAATACTTTGGAGATCTCTTTTAAAAGATCGGGTGGGTCTGCGTTCATTTCTGAGGACCTTTTCAAGTCTTTCCTCACAAAGGAAACCCTCTCTGAGTTGCATCCACTGTAGTAGTTAGGGAGGAGCATCTTTCACGCCTTCCTGAACTTTGAACTTCCAGTTTTAACTTTGGGGCACGTCCTTCTTTTTCAATCTTGGCTTTGCTTATCTGTAAACGTTGTATTGAATACACGCTTAATGCGATTATTGTGATAATTAATGAGAGAGAGAGATGAAAAGCACTTCCCACACAAGAAAGACATTAGGGATCTTTCTTTTCTTGTTCATTTAAATCTTTATGGAAGTTTTTGTTGGTGAGTTGTGTCCAGTTCAGTGGTATTTTATTTATTGTTCCAATAGCTCTCAATTGCTTTTCATGGTAAGCTTTTCTTTGATAGCCCTGACGGAATTCTGATTACCATTTTTGCAATAATATTGTATCCAGTTCATTTATATTTGACCATGGGTGGGGAGGACATCTGTATTTTGCTGTGGAGACGTTGGTTGCATTTGGATGCCACACTAAGCCATAAACCATGGGTGAGCAAATCAGTCTGTGCATGAGCTGGGCTTGAGCTCCCCGCTCTTCTATTTCCTGTGGCCAGCAGAAAAACAAACCAAAGGATGGCTGGCTTAGCATTACACCCAAAGCAGCCCTCCCCAAGAAGCCACAATTGGGAACCTTGGCTTCCTATTGTGGTTTGTTTGCAGCAAAACTAACTGGGACAGTGGTTGGGATGTAATGCTAAGCCAACCAATTTCATGGCTTGTTTCCCCATTGGAGAAAGGGAGGCTCATGCACAAACTCACCTGGTTAACCATGGTTGATGGCTCGGTGCTGCATCCGAATGTGTCCCACAGAAAATGTACCTTGAGTCAAGGCCCGCTGTCATCATCACCCTGTTTGGGAATTAAAAAGGTAAAGGGACCCCTGACCATTAGGTCCAGTCGTGACCAACTCTGGGGTTGCGGCGCTCATCTCGCTTTATTGGCCGAGGGAGCCGGCGTTTGTCCACAGACAGCTTCCGGGTCATGTGGCCAGCATGACTAAGCCGCTTCTGGCGAACCCGAGCAGCGCACGGAAACGCTGTTTACCTTCCCGCCGGAGCGGTACCTATTTATCTACTTGCACTTTGACGTGCTTTCAAACTGGTAGGTTGGCAGGAGCAGGGACCGAGCAACAGGAGCTCACCCCGTCGCGGAGATTCAAACCACCGACCTTTTGATCGGCAAGTCCTAGGCTCTGTGGTTTAACCCACAGCTCCACCTGCGTCCCGCTTGGGAATTACTGTGGTCCCTTTATAGGTAATGTGTGTGTGTGTGTGTGTGGTGGTGGTGGTGGGGGAATCTAGGATTCCTGTGAGAGGTGTAATGGAAGGTTTTGACATGTTTCCCCTCTCTTTCCCTTCTCCTCACTGGTTCTCTCTCGCTCTCTCTTTCAGAAACACAGTTTCTTCACCCTGCACGAATCCAAAGAGACAGACGTGGCTTCTTTTGTCAAACTCATCCTGGGGAACTGAGAAATGGACTTGTACATGATTTTACCCTTCTGTGGACTGGTGGGCTTTAGGAGGAGGGGCACATGGCAGGGCAGCCCTCATCGGAGAACCAGTAGGAGAACCTGCCACTGGCCAATTTTTGTTTTTTTTAATTATTATTATTATTAATAATATTATTATTATTGCTAAAGTCCTATCATCATCCTCTTGAAGGTTTTTATTTTTATTTTTTAAAGGGTTCCTTGGTAACCATAGTAACTTAGAATGAACTGGTTAGTGAAATGAATTTTAATAAGGTTGTCAACTGTAAACGAACAAAAATTTAAAAGAGTGATTGAAATGACGACACTCGCAAGTTCTGTTAGCGTCGCCTCAGTCCCACCCCCCCTCATGTTCCCTGTCAGACCAGATTTGCTTTCGTTTATGGTAATAGGTGCTACGGTAGTTATGAAGTTCTATATGTAGAGTTATATTTTGTCCCTACCATTGTTTTAATATTTATGTTAAGTGCTTGATTTTAATAGAACCTTTTTTTTTTTTTTTGGTTCTTATGTGAGAGTTGGAAGGTGGGGGGTGATGACAGCTGCAACAGCTAAAGCTACAAAGATTAGCATTTATAGGGCTTTGCTGGGAAACGGAGGAGGAGAAAGCATGGGCCATATAGATAAATATTATATATATGTATAGGTTGGAAGACTAATTTAATTTCAATGAAGAGTTTGGCTTCTATGTTAGGCAGCCCGCTGATGCCTGAGAAGGCTTGCATCCTTCTTTAGGAGGTGCCCAGAGACGGCATTGTTCTTGCACAAACATCATGAGGATGCAAAAACATTGCTGTGGTGGCTTCTTATTCCATTGCTTTGGTTATGCCTCCAATGAATAATTAGATTCTGAAGTGCAGGATATATATCTATATACATCTCACACATTAACTGTTGACTAAGCAATGGTGAATCAATCACCTTATGACCTACAGCCAGTGCCCTCTCAGTTGGCTGTAAGTCATGGGCCAATGCATTTGACTGAAGAGAAGGTGATGCCCTGAAGAAAAATGGAACTTAGAAAGGAGCAGCTCTCGATGAGGATGCAAAAGCTGGGGTCAGGGGCCAGTCAGTTTTGTACTACTCGTTTTTATACTGGCAGGAGTATTCCTTTTTCTTTTTGGTCTCAAACACTCACACGTCATACACAAATTGCCACTTTATTGCTCATCTCCCACCAACCCACTCACAACTTTTCACTTTTTCTGGATGCTTAACCTGAGCAGGACCCACCCCCTACACCTCTGGCACAGGCTCAAACAGTGTTTCTGTCTGAAAAGCATAGCAAAACCAAGTGAATAGGAGTTGGACAACAAGTGTTGCACCCCTCATCTTAATTTGTTGCTGTGACCATTATTATTATTGTTGCTGTTTTCAAAAAAACACTCTTTGGGCCAAACAGTACTGACTTGAGTGACTTAAGGCCTAGTGGTAACTGTTTCTGGAATTGCCCAAGGCCTTCTTCCACCTTGACCTGCCCTTAGTCACAGCTTTGTTGTTATGGCGGTTTGCATGGCCACCTAATCTCCATTCAATATATCCTATGGCAAGGCCACAGGGGTCTTATCTGATGGAGGCTGTTGCAGTTCTGTCAAGAACTCTTTTGCTCCCGAAGCGTTTCCATTTCCTGAACTGAACCATGGCAGTCTTCACAATGGGTGAGGAATGCTGTACTGCCGGTTTGGTGTTGAGGGAGAAAGTTAACGTTCTTGCTAGTGCTTTGTCCTTTCACTTTAGGACACACTACTTCTGCCCCCCGAGTTCAAACACGGGGGCATCAGTGTGGAGGAGCTCAGAATTCAGACAAGTAGCCACGCCAGGTGAAGACCCAAAGCGTCAGTGTTTGCCGTGTCGATTTTGTTCACAGAACTTGCCGTCCTGTTCTCCTGCAGTCCACATTTTACAACGCAACCGGTCGTTGGTGCGTACGCCGATTGGAAACCATTCAGGAGACATTTGACTGCAGACAAAACACTAAAGTGGGCTCGCATTTCTTTGTAATCTTAAAGGCCTAGAAAGGCTTGTAACCTGCTCCTAGTTTTCCATTTTATGTGCATGCTTCCCTCCCCTCGCTTCCAATTCCCACCCCTCCCCATTGATTCTGAGCTGCTTTGATTGATTGTCTGCAGCTGCAGCTGCAGCTCCGCCAGCCAGTTTTTAGAACTGGTTCCAGCATCAATTCTCACTTTGAAAAACATGACATTTAAAACCAGCTTTTTGGTTTTCCTACATATGGATCTGATGCTTGCTGTAGAGATTGTTTTTGCTGCTTTCCTCTTGGAATAGAAGACTCGTTTGGACACCACATCCTCTTGACCTCAGAACACCTTTATTTGAGTGCTGTGGTAACAGACAGGCTGGATTTATGAGATAGGATCAGTGTTAATAGCCGATATTAATATCCCCATTGGTTTCCTATAGCAGAATGCCAGTGCTGTCTACAGCAAGTCAGTTTAGAAAGGATTATTGCACTGTGAATCAACACTACATGCCTCGGGCTTTATTTTAGGAATTAAAATGTGGAGTCTAAGTTCCTTAATCACTTAGGTGCTTTTGAGTTTTTTTTGTCAACTCTTGTCTCTGTATAATTTGTCCTTTGGCAGGTACATAGACCTCTATCGAGTCTTAGAATAAAGCACACCCAGGTTATTTCCCCCTTCCGATCAAAACTGCAAAGCTTGTGTGTTCTTCTTATTTGAAAGTTCACATACCACGTTAGTGAAGATTGTTTCTAGGGATATCTCAAAAGTGGTTAAGGTGCAGTCAAAATTATTCATTTCCTAAAGGATGTCAGAAAGAAGGGGAGAAGAAATAGATGATCACATAGTGCACCCATGACAGAACCAGAAGCAACGGGTTTAAATTACAGGAAAGCAGATTCAAATTCACACATTTGAAGAAGCCTCGTTGACTCATGCATATTGTTCCTCAATAGGACGTGCTGCCTGGGAAAGTTGAGGAAACTGCATTCTTGGAGGTTGCCCAGTACAATTGGGACAGGCATCCATTTGGGGTGTTTTTGCATAAAAGATGATGCCTTAGGGTTTTGGGGTGGGTGGGGTGTATTGGATGAGATTACTCCATAGCCTTGTTCTGTGTACATGGTTCTGTGATTTTTTAATTGGAATTAGCAAACATTTGGTAGGGGCCACAATCATATTTGTACAAGATACATGACGTTTGCTTACATTGCCAAAAGGTAACCCAGACGTGTGCGGGAAACCAGCAAGTCTTAGTTTTCATGATCAAAGGCTCCCAGGGCTTTCATTCTTCCTTTGTTCACTGTCTTAGCTTCACATACGACAACCGCACTGTTATATTGAGAAAATTTCAGGTACCTTCTTTATGTGCCATCACATGTGCTAGATGCCTATATGACGTCTCCTGCAGTAGGAAGCCCAACTGATGTCGGCTGCCCATCGTGTGCAAACATAGGTGTTTGTGCATATTTGGATATATAAGTCAGTTTTGTGCACAGAAATGAGACCCACATAGAAAATTTTCCCATGTGCACCGTGGCCCAAAGTCACATTTGGGTCATTGCGGAGAATTCTGAACTTGAAATAATCTCCTTTGCAGATGGTAATGTTGTTATAAAGAAGCAATAGCTTGTGCAACTACTTATCTGAATGGATTCAAAGGCAAGGTGATGGCTTTCAGTTTTCCAGAGGCTCATCCTAGTTGGTCTCAGCTTCCACTATATCCCTTGATCAACAAAGTAGAAGTTGAAAGGAATTAAGGAGTTATTACTGCAGGCTATTTTGGGTATGGGATTGGTTCTAGGTGTGCTCAATGTGCGGACACAACTGGGGTTAATTTTGTGCAATTCAGCCATTCTAGTAGGTTTTGTGGAGCGTCAAGTCATTGTAGTTCCAATGTATCTTTAATTTCAAAGTGCCTAACCCACTTTTAAAGGACCTAAATTTACTTAGGTGCTTTAGAATAGCTTTTTGAGCAATGTAGATGTCCTGTGATTTCTTGCGTCTGCTTTCTCCTGCTCAGGATTTCTTTTTGCTGCTGATGAGAAAAAGAGATGAGCATGCTATTGTTCAAATACTGGCAAAATCTGAAGAAGGAGGAGCACTTGGAACCCATGCATGGAACGAGATCTTGTTATTGACACCAGCATATTTGGCCATGCATGGAACCCAACTTACAAGCACTGCATTTTAAGTGCACTGGGCATCCACATTATTCCCGGCTCTCCCCACTGGGTTGAATATCCTAGAAGTTTGTAAACCAGTAACATTAACCAGTAACATTAAGAGTTACTTAACGATTACTCTTTGGAACTGTGAAAGAAAAGGGGTAGCCCTGAGGCTTGTTCAGCTGAGCTGATTTTCCCTCTTGCTTGCTGAACCAAGGGATATTCGTTGCAGTCTTCTGTTTTCTCATGCCACCCTACTTGCTGATTTCCTATTTTCAGATGTAGACCATGATATAGCATAACTCTTTCCTCCATTAAAAGAAACAAAAACAAATCACAACCCTTCCTTTCAGCCTCTTAATTATTTTAGGGCTTCTTTTCTCTGAATATTGTCACTGAGGTTCTTGGTCAAACACATCTTGTTGCCGTTGCTTTTAATTGGAAATGGAGGGGAAAGTTATCAGTGAAGTAAGGTCACATTCTCACCATACATTTAAAGCAGTTTGCTTTACCTGGAGAATTCTAGGAACAATAGTTTACCCCTCACATAGCTGCTGCTGCTGCTATTACTAATATTAATTTCATTTACCAGTCTCTTTTTACAGTAAGAAGCGTCACAAACGATTTGACAAAAATAAAATACAGCATATAGAAGCAATATAAAATCAGAGAAAATTTTGCAATGCTAACAATGCAAGATATATAAAGCACTCATCCAACCATAGATGAATAACGACCAAGTCCTATCCACTCCAATGAAAGATGGTAAAGGTAAAGGACCCCTGAGTCCAGTCAAAGGCGACTATGGGGTGCAGCGCTTATCTTGCTTTTCAGGCCGAGGGAGTCGGCGTTTGTCCACAGACAGCATTCTGGGTCATGTGGCCAGCATGACTAAACTGCGTCTGGCGCAACAGGACACGGTGACGGAAGCCAGAGCGCACAGAAACACCATTTATCTTCCCATTGCTGCGGTACCTATTTATCTACTCGTGCTTGTATGCTTTTGAACCATTAGGTTGGCAGGAGCTGGGGCAGAACAACGGGAGCTCACGCCATCACTCAGATTTGAACTGCTGATCAGCAAACCAAAGAGGCTCGTTGGTTCAGACCACAGCATGTCAGGCGTCAGAGCATGGGTAGGCAAGCTAAGGCCCGGGATCTGACCCAATTGCCTTCTAAATCCAGCCCGCAGACGGTCCGGGAATCAGCATGTTTTTACATGAGTAGAATGTGTCCTTTTATTGAAAATACATCTCTGGGTTATTTGTGGGGCATAGGAATTTGTTCATATTTTTCCCCCCAAAACATAGTCCGGCCCCCCACAAGGTCTGAGGGATAGTGGATCGGCCCCCTGCTGAAAAAGTGGTTGACCCCTGCGTCAGGGGATCCAATCCCCCCACAGTAGGCTGCCAGGAATGGATAAGACATAGAATGTTCTTAGCAATGCCTTTTATTCAATATTCATAGAGAGTGACTTAGAAATGCAGCCTCTTGGAGTAATGGCGTTGCTCCCAGTGAAACCTCACCCCCTCGGTCTCTCCTACTTCCTCATGAGTCATTGCTACAGGTGCTGGAAAGGGCCTTTCGCCTTTGAGCCCTCTGCTCTCCTACTTTTAACGCCCACCATATTCTGGGAGGAGGGGTCTGGAATGCTTTCTAAAGACACTGAATCCATCAGCTGTCTCCCCTGGTGCTTCTTCCTCCTCTCTTATTATTCCCCAGCTTTCCCCCCTCATCTGTGTCAGTGCTTGTAAAAGAAAAGGTTCTGACCTCCTTTTTACTCCTTTGCCTAGTCCTCAGACCTTAGTTGGCACAAAGAGTCCTTTGCAGAATGCTGCTTTTATTCTTAAAAGTCGTCTTCTCCAACCACGACCGACAGCTTTATACATATCAAATGCAACCAGCTTTCTACCATCCAACCAACCCACACCCAACACTAACATTGACCACTCTATATATACAGGTACAATTTGGTAAAAGGTTGCATGAGTCACTGTAGGCCGCTGACTCATGCTGACTTAGCATTAAAGAAACCGCGGCCAATTTTTAGCCGTGACAATCTGCCTCTGAGCTGTAACCTCCCTCAAACCCAGCAGCGGAGGAAGCCACTTGGGTGTCTGGGGCGGGGCGCACCACTGGGCCTCCGGTGTCTGCCTGCCTCCTCCCACTCAGCCGCCCTACAGCTGAGGGGGGGGGGGAGGCAGCTGTCGGACTGTTGGGGCAGCATGGAGCCTCCACGCGCCCAAGCCACTGCGTTTCTCCCAGGAGAGATGCGTGGCTCGGGCGCAATGCAGGTCCCACGGTGAGTTCCACCCGGCATTTTGTCGCCCCCTTCAGTGGTGACACCCAGGGCTGCCCGCACCTACCGCACCCCCCCTTCCTCTTCCCCTGCTCAAATCCCTGTTGTAAATCTGAAGTGTCTCCATCTTCTCTGTAAGGGTGAGGCTGGGGAGGCGGTCTCCACCATTGCTCCTCTGCCCAGTCCCTGACACAGTGCCACCTGCGCCCCTGCTGAAAGAGGCAACATTAACTCACTGAAAGTCGCATAAACAGGAATGTATTAGCTTGGCACTTAAAACAGAAAGGGTGTCAGGCAGATCTTCCTAAGGTGCATTCCATAGATGAGGGGGCCATCACTGAAAAGGCCCTTTCTCATGTGTCCACCGTTCCTTGAATGGGGCATACGGAAAAGAATCGGGTGAGGAACTGAATGCCTAGTTTCTCTAGAAAGATAGCGCTGAACATAGCCTTGTGAGGTTACTGAGCTGAGGTGATCCTTGCCCAACAAGTGTGCCAAGGCTGCATTCTAGACTAAAAGAATGCTTCCCTGTCTCATGGCCAGACTCCTTAGTTTGTGGTGATATGAATTGGGGGAAAGACTCATTGGATAAAACATTAAATTCGACCCTTTCATTGCCATAAATCATTGATTGTTATTGGGCACAGCTCTTCCTGTGTCAGATGCTGATATATGTGGCCAAATAGAGGGTGCAATTTGATTCCAATGCCAGTTTTGTTTAAAGGGAGTTCTAGTACTCCTAATATTGCATGCTAGACAGTACTTACAATGAGCACAAATTATAGTTGCTCTAGCATCGAGTCATTCATAAAACAAATTCTCACAGCAATAGAGTTCAGCTTAGTATGCTTCAAAGGATGTGCCAAATGTATCTTGCCCTCAAATTGGCTTAGTCATCCTTTATGTTTAGGATAATTATATAGGACTACTTGGTGTTTCCTTAGGATGAAAGAGAAAGATAGATCATGATGCTAATGGAGCCTGCTGTGAGATACAGTCTTTTATTGCATCCTGTGCATTAAGGTCTTCCTGGAAGTAGAGGGAGTTTCTATTCTTAATCCCATCTCCCTTGATTTTGGCTTAACCTTGACAGCCTTATCATCTTTATCCAGCATCTTAGAAAGATTGTAAAAAATGAATCTTATTACTTTACCCCTTTAAACTAATGCTTCTGTTATATTTTGTGACCTTTTTGCTTTTCCTCTTCTGGTGCTTACTTCCATGGTTATTTAGGCATTTGTTAATTACTTTTGCCCTCCTAGTCTTCACAGGCAAGTCTGAGGGAATTGTTTCATCAGGCCCAAGGTGAGGAAGCCTCTGAACTTCTAAGAAAGTCCTTACTTGCAGTCAAAGGATGTGAGATCCAGCCTCTGCAGCTTTTGTTTTTTTTGCTGCTACACTTCTCTTGTGATATCCACTGTTCAACAGTGGGGGGACCCACCGTGTAAAAATTATCTGAGCTAAAGCCCTTTGCACAGTCTTGTTAATTCTAATGTCTGCTATCCCAAGGTCAAATTGGGAAAGTGCTAATTTTAATGCTGCCAATTTGTCCAATAATTTCTTTTCAGTTAATGACCCTTGTAATAAACACAGTGCAGCGGAAGATCTAAATTTGGGCAAGAAGACCTAAATCTGCAATCAGGCTTCCTATTGCCTTCAAGTTAAAAATTGCACTTGGTAAGTTGGGGATAAATTGCCCAAATCATGGGTGTAGTCATCAATTAAAACCTCTTGTTGATCCTGTGATACCAAAATGCTCTGCTCTATATTAGTTTCCTTCATTCCCTGCAAGAGTTTCAAGATAGGTGGGGCTGTCCCACTTTGCATGCGTCTTTCCTGCAGGGCTGAAGTGATTTGAAAGCTTGCTTTGAATCACAGTATTCTGAACTGAAATCTTTTTCTTGTTACCACCATTCCTGAAGGATATATTGCAATATATCAAAATAATTCCATAAAACTTAATAGATAATATACATAACTCCCAACAAACGAGAGCAATCAATCAAAACCCAAGGAGAAGGAGATTCCGACTAAACATCAGGAAGAATTTTCTGACAGTATGCAATCTCCATTGTCTTTTGCTGGATCACTTCTTGCAAAATGCACATTTTCTGCCATTATTCTTGGTTGAGTTTTTGTTCCAGCACTTGAAGATCTTGAGACAGTGCCTTGACCTCAGCTCACTGATATTACAGGGATATAATTCAGTTCTGCCTCCCAGATTGCCATCTTGAAGTCCCTGCACTTTTTCCATTGGTGATTTAATGTGTGCTCTGGATTTCCAAGGAGATTGACAATGTGACTCACGGAAGAAAATGAAGCAAGAAAAAAACAATGATCTGCCCTCTCTGAATGAGGACTTGTGACATCAGCAATCTGGAAGTCGTTGACAGCCGATTTGGCAAAATCACTCTCTGTTAATAAATACACTTACTATAGGTAGTAAGCCTTTAAAAATCTGGGGCTATGCAGTTTCAATCATCACCGGCATCCTGTAAGCTAGGCCATAAAACCCCAGGGTTTTTTTCTTCTAGGGAGGATTGCATTTCCTAATTAATATTTCAGCTGGACCTGGTCTGGGAACGGTTGGACAGATCTAAGCTGTAACATATGTTCTAGTGGCTTATACCCCCCCTATATGGGAACACAGGCAATAGACACTTTAAGGTGGGAAGAAACAATATCTGAAGTATATAAAATGACAGACAGATGTGTTTCTAAATTAAGGCAGGTTTATAGTCCCCAGTGCTTTCTCATCTCATCACCTTGGGTTTTTTCTTCTCTTTCCATAGAGCATTCCATCTCATTTTCCTTCTAAAGAGGCTCCCTGGATTTATTGAGTTCTCAGTTTTGTCTGACTATGACAAATTCATCAGAACTGCAGTTCTGGATGGACTTGGGAACCCAGAAGTGGCAGGTTGCACACTGGAATCCTATGAACAAAAGGCTTTCCATATTTATCTCAATGCAGGTGGCATTGCTGCAGGAAGTTTTGCACATCCACTTTCTCTCCAGCCATGACAAGTGTTAGGAAGGATGTT